AATCTGCTTCTGGGATACCTGACCTAAGACTGTTAGTGCCAGGAAAGGTCCTCAAAAGGATGGGATTCTGCTTTGGGGTTACTCGTTGGCCAACTGGCAATGAGGACCCCATCACTGGTAGTAGGTGGTATCAGCAGTCCTGGTCCCTGGCCCACTGTAGCTGTTCAATGGCCAGGACATTCACCTGTGGTGACCTGGGATCAGGTGCAGGTGGACAGGGATGCACCAGCTGGCAGTGTCTCTAGTGTTTGAGAGGTCTGGGGGAAATGTCAACAGTCAGGACTGTGGAATTGGGAGGCTATTGCTAAGCACCATCGATGCATTGAAGAGAGTGACGGGCTTGGACTAATCACCAATTGAAAGCACAGTGTGAGACTCGGAGGACCTCCCGGCCAGTGTTTAGTCCCTCACCTACAGCAGATGGCAGCACTTGAAAGAGGGGTGAATTCGCAGTCAAGGTAAGTCTGCTGCCTGCTCTTAATGCCAATAGAAGAGCAGGCAATGCAGGCTTTGACAGGAAAGAAGTGGAACCCTAAATCGTGGGATAAGAAGCCTGGGTCCATGGACTTGTTCCCCTGGGCTGGCAGAAGTGGCCTACTCCCCCTCGTTGGAAGCTAGACCCTTTTCCCCTCCCCCAAGATTATGCAGAGGCCTCAGATGAGACATACCAGATAAAACCCCTCTCAGGATGCATCCCCTCCTCCCTTCCAGACCCCTTCCAGAACAATAACTAGCATCAAATTACATGACCTGACTAGGGAAGAGGCACAGATATCTATGGACAGGAGCACAAAATATGAGGATCTTTGAGTCATGCATTCATACCCACCAGAGACTGTTCATTGCAGAAAGGGCACCAAACACCAAGCTGACTGGATGACTCGGCCAGCAGGTGCCAGCCAGCTTCGCTCTTGGCACCCCAGTGCCTGCACAGTGGGCTCATAAATGGAGAAGCCTTGGCAGCAGAACGGAAGACTGTGCATGGGTCCAGCAGCACAGGCTCCCTGTCATCAAGACAGATGGAGCTACTGCCATTGCTGACTGTCCCACCTGCCAGCATGGAGATTGATGCTGGGTCCCCACTGGATACCATTCCTTGTGGAGAACAGTTGACTTCATGAGAACCCCTCCAGGCTGGAAAGTACAGGGACTGATCAAAATCCAAGTGGCATTGATGCATGGGCTTTCCTGCCCATAGTGCCTCACTCAGCATCACTGTCCTGTAGTGTCTGATCGACCATAGAACATTGCTCTGATTGAGAGACTCAGCCGTGGGCATGTGATCACAGAATCAACTCGCCGATCCTACCACACATCTCCCCAGTCAGAAGTGGCCAGCCTGATAGAGCCGTAGACTAGCGTTTTGAAAGTGAGGATAAGCAGCACTGTTGGACGTGACACTGCAGCGTTGCAGCGCCAACCTTCTAGATGCAGTGCACACCTTAAACCCACGTGCATTTTCATGGTGCCACGCCCCCAGTAGGCAGAATAATGGAACCTGGGAGCCAAGAGGTCAAATGAGTTGTGACTTCATTCATTGTGACGCTCCTGTCAAATTTCCACATGGGAAATCTGTCCTCTCCATCCCTGCAATTTTAGTCTCAGCGGACCTAGAGGTGTTGGTTCCCAGGAAGGCTATTTCCACCAGGGGAACATGAAGAGTCCTACCTAAATGTAGGTCTGCCACCTGCTGCTGATGCAGTTGGTCCTTAGGTTCTATCTTTCTGTCATCATTTCCCTCCCACTAACTCTACATCCCCCTCCTCCTTGTCGGGCACTTCTGCTGGTGGCACACATGGTGGGTGTTGTAAACGCTTGTCTGGCTATTGTTTTTTTTTTCCTTGCCCATTTACAAGTGGGAATGGGAGGCCAGGGAAATGTCCCAGTGAGTCACCAGCAGGCCAGACACCTTCCTCTCTGATTCTATCGGGTAAGAGCCCAGCATCCTCATGGTAACGGTTGCCAATGGCCTTCTCCAGTGTGGCAGTGCTCTCTTTGCCCTCTGGTCTATTGGCATGAGGACAAAGTGATGGGGCCACTAGCAATAAGGCCTTGGTGGGGGAAAGCTTCATGATGGACAGTCGCAGAACAGGTGAAAATGCTATTTCTGGTACTATTTGGATAACATAAGAGAATTTAGCTAATAGTATTTTACTAGCTTGAATTGTGTTGAAAATTTTGAATTCTGAATTCAGCTTTTGTCCCTCATTTGCAAAGCCTCGGCTATTGAAAGATACATAAAATCTGAACACCGTTCTGCCGCAGAGGCACCAGAGGCAGGGCCTGCATGCTATCCCTGGAGAGCCGTAGGCCCCCAGTGCAGGCCTGCCAGTGCCTCGTCGGGCCCCGCAGGGTCTGGGGGGCGAGGGGAGCTGCTTTAATACCTGCGAACATCCGGTGTAGTACTTAAGGGTTGCTTGCCGATATTCGTGGGGTTTCTTTTTAGGCCTAGATAATGTTGTTACTTTCATTATTTTTATTATTACCTTGTTGAGGTATTATTACCTTATTAGAAATTATTTCATGCACTCTTATGATGAGGAAAATAAGTTTTAGCAAACAATCATTTCTGGTGAGATTGTGGGTTATTTTAGATATCCGACCAATTGGCTTTAACTACTTTAAGTTTTCTACTTATAAAAAGAATATATATGTAAGTTATCAAAAACTTAGAATATACAGAAATAAAAATGCAAATCAGACAAAATCAAGATAACCACTGTAAATATTTTACCCCAGACCTTTTGTCTATAAAAGTGAATATTTTAAAAATTTGGGGGCCATACAACATTTTGAGGGAGGTGCTCTGTATATTAGTCTTATTGAAAAATTCCCATTAAATATCTGAGGAATTGAGCAAGGCTTTGACTCAACCCAAATAGACACATCGGCTTGTCCTCCCCACGTACCACCCAACTGTGGGCTCGTTCCAACTCAGAACGTTTGAGAGCATCTGGTTGTTGAGCTAAGAGGTGGTTTCCCAGTTGTGAAATTTGAACCCAGTTCCTAGCAGCTCTGAAAGTCTAATACTGCCAGCCAGACTTCTCTAGAAGCTGGCAGGGACTTGAACAACAGAAAATGCAGGCAGGGAGTGAGGGAGGGAAGGAAGGGAGGAAGGGAGGGAGGGAGGAAGGAAGGAAGGAAAAAAGGGAGGGAGAAAGACCATGATGAAATGTGGAATCTGAGAATGATTAATTGAATGCTGAGGAGTAATTCCCTTCCTCTGGGCCAAAGACAGGTTTGCAAAGGAAATAGACACTTCAGATGTAGACCAAGTTTACACTCTGAGACACCAAGCAAAAGATACGTATCCACCCTAGTACCCATGAAAATATGCTAGAATAGCGCCTTAGTGAGCTCTGGAGAGCTACTGGGACGGATTAGGCAGAGAGTGACCCCTCGGGCTAGGTGACCCCTAGACGGCCAACGAGGAGCTGGGTGAGGTAAAGGTTCGAGCACGGAAGTCATACACTCTCCGGTTCAAACCCAGCTCCACCTCTTGGGATAAATGACTTAACCTTTGTGCGCTTAAGTTCTTTTCATCACTTATTCCACAAAAATGGAAGTGATACTGTGTAGTCTTCCTGTGAGAATTAAATGGGGTGATCTAGACATACCATTAGCACGTGATCTGTAGCGACTACCTCCCCACACTTGCTCCTCCTGGGGCGTGGGCGTGACTTTAAGGCAGCCCTCCACCCCTGGCCCCCAAGTGAACACGATGGACTGTAGTTCACATGACAGAGATGGTCCTTTAGAAGTTTTTGCATAATTGTAAGGAATAGAGAGAAATCTAGATTGAAAGAAAATAAAAACTTGGGGGTGGCTGAAGTTTGTTTTTTTCCAATAAAATGGCTCTATTAGCGCTTAGTTGTCTTTAACTTCACTTGCAACAATTTTGTTAGGCTGCATTGTGACAGCTGTCATATCAGTGTGTATTAAAAAACAATCAAAATTAGTGAATTTTTGTGTAGCCACTTTAATATTGAGGATGGAAGAAAATATGCGACATTTTCAGCATATTTTACTGTATTATTTCAGGAAAGGTGAAAACACAACTGAAATGCAAAAAAACGTGCAGTGTATGGAGCAGGTGCTGTGATTGATTGAAGTGTCAAAAGTTTCAATTGGGACATTTTGTGCTGGAGATTTCTCGCTGGATAACCCTTCACAGCCAGGCAGACCAATTGAAGTTGATAGCGATAAATCGAAACATTAATTGAAACAATCAACATTATACCACGTGGGAGATAGCCAACATACTCAAAATACCAAAACAACAAAGTTATTGGTGGAAACGAAAAATGTGTCTTTTATTCTACGGAAAAAAACATACAGACCTTTTGGCCAACTCAGCGGTTTGCCCATTTGAAATCCATTGGGTAGGAGCTACCAATGAACTAGCTCGATCTACAGCGGTCCCTTTGCGCCATCTAGTGCACAGCAGTGGAAAAGCCATGTTTTTATCTTCACAGTCTGTAATTTGTGGAAAACATGTATTCTGATGAGAATAACTTAAACTAATGAGTTTATTTATTAATAAATGTCACTCAATAATTTAAACAAAATAAATAATTATAATTTTGAATATTAAGTGCTAAAACTAAATTTCCCAAACTATTTAGAATTTAGGTGCTACAAAGATCGTCCGCTGAGGGGAGAGCATCCGCCCCAGTCTTACCAGCACGAGTTTGCACGGCCCACCTTTCCCATTGTTCTGGTCCTTCCCCATCGATACCCTTTATGCTTATTCTGGTGCACGAACTGGGAGTTCCCCTGAGACGCAGGATGTGTCTTCCCAACGCACATCCGGACCTTATGCCATTCTGCTCATTTTCTAAGAATGCAGCCATCAACTAAAACATTGCTGTAATCAAAGTGAATATTTGTCAGGGCCTATGTACTTGATTTGATTTTTCTGGTGCATGTGTGTGTGTCCGCTCTGTGTTTCCTTTTAATGCTGTTTATTTATGACCTTTATAACTCGTTTCCTCCCCCAGATGTTTACGAGGATGAAGACAATGGCAGACAAACCTCTCCCAAATGTGAGTAATAATAGCACTCTTGGAGTGCCGGAAGCTATTCTGAGAATCTCTCTTTAATATCATTGTAATTACTGTTAACAATAATCACAACCGTGTTATTTATTAAATTCCTGTGATGTGCCAGACATTTATAAATATTTTTGCAAAATAGAAATGATTACCCCGGTTTAGAGACAAGGAAACGGACACTCAGGGAAGTGAAGGGCCTTGCCCGGCACCGCACAGCCAGCGAGTGTTCCCCACGGTCAGGGCTGCACGCGGGTCTGACCGACTGCAAAGCCCCTGCAGTGGGTTTCTGTCAGTTCAGCTGCGTGCCCGTGACCTGCCAGGCCCTGCGCCTGAGATTCGGGGCCCCTCGGGGCTGCCACCCCTGTAGGACTGAGGACTTACTACCTCAGACTCTCAGCACCACAGATCCCAGGGCCAGTGACTCCAGGAGGAGGGGACCGAGTGTGGACGTGACACAGGGACAGACAAAGGCAGCCCGTGAGCTACACGGTCATCTCCTGTGAAACAGGGGCTTTGACCGAGGGACTTTCTCCAATGTTGCTGGTTCTCAGAACAGGAGCCAGGGCGCGGGTAGGTGGGAGAGGGAGATACCAGGTGAGTAGGGCATTGTCTCTGCTGCCAAGAGCCCAGGGCTCCCGGGGGAGGCACCTGAGGGCATGCCAGGAGCAGCAGCAGTTTGTTTAAGAAGAAACTCTCCCTCAGGAAGGGTCTTGTGAGGTGACTGTGGGTGGCCTCCAACACACACAGCCCCTTTCCTCCTCTGTCTCCCAGGGCAGGACAGAATAGAATACAACACAATAGAACAGAATCAAATGATGGAATGGGACACAGTAGAATAGAGTAGAATAGAATAGAATAGAATAGAATAGAATAGAATAGAATAGACCCACACTCTGTGAGGGTACTTTTGGTTCCATAACCTTGTGGTTTAATTTTATAAATATACTTGTGTGTATGTTGTGTTGGGATGTAAAATTAGCATCTCCCTTCAGGTGCACTGCGGAGTGGCTGGAACTTGTCAGGTCTTCCAGTTCCCAAGTTCCTTCCAGCCCTGCCCACCCTGGGCTGTGGCTGTGCTGTGACTGATGAAAGCAAGAACCCCCACCCCATACTCCTAGCAGGTGGCTCTCTGGTCTCTGGAACCCGCACTGTTCAGTGAGACACTGAAGCCATGGACCCTGGAGACCCAGGGAAGGAGGTGGTCGAAGACCTGGCTGTCCCCATCCTCCCCTACGGCCTTTCTGCAGGGCCACCATTCCTTGTCCTCACTGTCTGCTCCTGGCACAGGGGTCCTGGGATGGACGAGCACCTTAAAGAGGCATCTCTGGGGGTCACAGCTGATGACCCTGAGTCACATTTGGGGAAGGGCAGTGGTAGGCACTTCCCTGAGCCAGTTTCTCCTCTGCCCTCAACTATGTCCCCCCACCATGTTCTGGGACCAAAAATTAAACTGGGTTTCTGGAAGCCTGTAGGAGGGGGCTGGCCAGCTGCTCCCACAGCACCCCTGACCTGCTCTGGGGAGGGTCCCCTGGTTCCCAGCACACAGACTGGGGGGCACTGCATGCAGCAGGTCGGGGACCACCCAGTGAATCCCTGGCTGCTAAGATAAATGCGCCCCCACCATACCCCCAAATGCAGGCTCCTTCTGCCACCCGCCAAGGCTACTGCTGTGCCCAGAATGCCCCCCCTCACCACGCCTGGAGCCCCCCCCCCTGAATTCTCACCACACCGGAACTCCCCAGCCCTCAGATTCCCGAGGGATGGCTTCCTAGGCTGACACTCCACTTCACTCGGGGCTGCCACATGCGATTGAAACCAGAAAAGTCGGTGTTCGGGCTGCCTATCACTACCAGAACCATTAAGTAGAGACAGGATTGAATCTTTATGGGTATTTTGTTCAGATGGCGGGTCATGTGCCCTAACAGACTGTCTTACATCTCATCTCAAACCGCCCCTTTTATAAGGAGAAGGAAAGTACAGGAAAGGGGCTTGAAATTCAGGGAAAAGTCTAATCAGACAAAAGCGGCAGTCGGGCAGTTTTCCTGGCATCCTTCCTTCTGCTGACCGGTGCTTCTTTATCTGTGCTCTGGGTGGCTGGATATTCCCTCCTTGGAGCACAATGGCTCAGATACCATCTCGATCACTTGCCTCCCTCCTGGGGCACAAAGATGGAATTATGTGTGGGTCTCCTGGAGTCAGAATACGTCCAGTCATAAGTTCCAGTTCCTGGAACCATAGCTTTCTACATGCAATAATTGCTAAGCTTATTAACTGTAACTTAAACATTAAAAATTGTCAGCTTGAGTTCCCCATGGGGATGTTTCTGCTGCCTCCCCAACCTGCCTTGTGAGCAGCGAGGGGCAGAGACCGCAGGTCAGAGCGCAGGGTAAGGAGCAGGAACGCCGTAGAGTCCAGCGGCAGTGTTTACAGGCCAAGGAAATCTGGCCCAGGGACTATCCCTCTCCCATCTCAGTTTCCTCACCTGTAAAATAGGGCTAAGGCCCTTGCACAGTTATGCCCACACCCCCACCCCCTCGGCACAGTGCGGCCTCAGCATCTGTAGGGTTGCTGCTCCCCGCTGTGTCTAACAGACCTGAGCACTACCCTGCGCACCGTGGGGACTACGTGGGTCATTAATCCACGCACTGGAGAGTGGCAGGGCGCGCCGGTTCCTCTGATCTCCCCGTGGTGAGTGCGGTGATGTTTGGCAGAGGCTACCAAGAAATTGGGGAGAGAAACAGGGGTGAGAAAGAGACAGGGTAGGAAACTGGTCAAGCAGAAAAAGAGAGGGTTTTTTTCTGGGACGAGAGGAAGTCGTCCCAGAAAAAAGGGGCTTCAAACAGCATGTGGCCACGACTTCTCAGTCACAGTTGTGGGATTTCAGAGCTGGAAAAAGGGAACCCAAAGATCACAGACCGGCCCTCCCACACCTCTGGTGAAGCATTCGGGTGGGGAGAATAGGAATTAGAGATGGAGAGAACGGGTTCCTGGGGACAGGCCGTGCTGCTCGCTGGCAGCAGGGCCCCGGGCCCCGCCCGCCCCTCTGCTCCACAGCCCACCCGGATTCTCCCCTTCTCTCCGCAAGGCTGCTCCGGCACCACTTGTGTCTTTGTGGAGACGGACAGTTGCGAAGGGGCAGAGGATGTGCAGAAGGAGCGCAGCGCTCCGGGTGTGAGTTATTTCCTCCTTACCCCTTTCCCATCCCCCTCATTCCTGCTCTTCAGCTTCCCCGGCCTCCTCTTCCTCTCCCACCGCCCTGGCCGTCCCCCATTAGAGCCTGGCCCAATCCGGGGACCGGAGGTCGCTGCTCAGACCCTCCTGCCCAGCACGCCCCGCGCCACCGGGTTCTGGGTTTGGGCGGTAGCGAAGGGACTGCTGCGGGGACCTCGAGTGGCCGAGGGAGAGCTGCGGTGGGCTCGGCCGGCCCTGCCCCCGCCCCGCCGGGAGGGGTCCCAGTGCAGCCGGCCAGCCACCCTGGCGAAGTCTGAGGGTGCTGCGCGGCCCCCTCCCTTCCAGCTCCCGGGACTTTTCCAGTTGGACGACAGTTATGATGCCTGTCCCACCACGTCTGTTCTGGACACACGAGAAAGCATCCAGGGAGAAAAAGAAGGCGATGATGAGAAGGACACGTGAGTGTGAACGAGGAAAGAAAAGTAAGCCAATCCGTTAGCCAATGCTTCTCTGACTTGGAACTTCAGGACAGTAGACAAACTAAGGAGAGCATTGCAGGGTCCACCAGCTTGCTCGCCCCTGCGGGGCAGACGACTCCAGGCAGAAGCAGCGGGTGGACGAGGGGAGGTTGCCCAGGGACCCCTCCCCAGAGAACTTACGCCCCTTCCAGCCCCCACGCTCCCTGGGCTCAGCAGGAGCCGGCCCCAGGCCCGGGGAGCGGGGCCCCTGGGTACAGAAGCCGCGCCCACCCCTGAACTGAAGGCAACCAGGGCAGCCCAGGGGGCTGGGAGCCTGCGGACCCGCCTCCCCACGGCCGGCCTGCCCTCCCACCCTGCGGGAGACCACTCTGACCTCCCACTCGGCCTCCTTGCCCAGGCCCCCATTGCTGCTCTGCTTGCAGCTGTCCTCTGGGAGAACTTGGGCTCGTGAAGTCAGACTGGCACTGAGCTCTGGTGGGCTGAGGGGAGGGGCGGGAACCGGGGAGTAATTGTCATAAAGCCAGGCCAGATCCACAGCAGGTCCCCCCAGACCCTGCACCCGCTGCCCCGGGGCCTGGACACACTGCTCACTCAGGACACAGTTGTGAACGTTTTAGACTTTTTAAAAGTCTGAAAGGGACGGGGAGAGGTGGCTCTTCCGGGAGTGAAGTCTGTGTCGTCTTCCCATCCTAGTAAACAGCGGCCAAAACCATCAGATCAAGGCCCCCAGTCTTCTTTCATAACTTGCTCCATCACCCACGGCTTTGTGACGCTGCCTTTGCCCACTGGAGGGACTCAGTCCACCAGGTGCGGAGCCGTGGGAAGGCGGCGGCTGCTGCCCACGACAGTGTCCCGCTGAAGGGCTGCACTTAGCCGCCCTGGATCGGTGACCCAGGCGGCTGTCCCAGTCCCGAGAAACACCAGGCCTGCCTTCGGAACTTAGAAACAAGACAGGTCCTCCAAACCGCCACTTCCCAGAGTGTGTTTTTCAGAACAGGCAGAAGAGAGTATAAGAGCTTAATGAGCCCTGGCTGGTGTAGCTTGAGTGCAGGCCTGCAAACCAAAAGGTTGTGGTTCGATTCCAGGTCAGGGCACCGGCCTGGGTTGCGGGGCCAGGTCTCAGCAGGGGACACATGAGAAGCAACCACACATTGATATTTCTCTCTTTCTCTCCTTCCCTTCCACTCTAAAGATAATTAAATAAAATCTTGAGAAACATATTTCAAAAAGAGTTCAATCAGTCAGTTCCACAATGACGACAAAATTAGCTAGTAATAAATACATTTTACAAACAGTACACATTCTGTTCCTCTCTTGGTTGATCCCAGTTAGATTGAAGGATCTGGGGGCTCTTGCAGAAAGGAAGTGTGAATACTTTTGTTAAACTCAGCATTTCCTAAACTTATCTGAACGCTTTTCTTTTGTATCGGTAAAGGGAAAGGTTAAGCTGTTGTAACAAAAAGATCCAACAATGTAAGGACTTAAAGAATATCTGTCTCACGAGACAGCCCTGGTTGGACATCCAGGCTGCCTGGCTCCACACTGTCGTCTGGGGTCCCAGGTCCTTCTGGTTCTCCACCATCCCCGGGACATTGTCCTTGTCTGCAGAGTCGAAAGCAAGTTTACGAACTCACTCGGATTTCCAGCTCACCGGTCACGGTGGGGGGGGGGGCGGGGACCGGGCAGAATGCACCTCCCAGGTGCAGTGCTGGGAGGCCCACCTGCACACGGCACACAACACCTTCTGTTTCTTCAGTGAACGCTTTGTTGCGTGGCCACAACCAGCCACAAGAGGGGCTGGGAGCGTAGCTAGGAGCCCCTTGTCCAACTACCACGGCGTCACTGTGTGTCAGTGTCGCCCGGCCAGCCTGCGGCAGAATCCAGGTCCCCCGGCTCCTAGGCCGGGACTCTAATTACCACGCTGGTGTTGCTTACTCCTTCAACATGTGCAGGGTGCCTCTTCAGATCCAAGTTTATTGTCAGATGAGGATAGAGAACTTTGTAAACCATATTTTCAGTGATTCTCTATAAAATATTGATTTCCTTGGTCTGGCCAGTGTGGCTCAGCTGGTTGGAGCATCGTCCCGTAACCGAAAGGTTGTGGTTTTGATCCTCAGTCAGGGCACGCACGTAGGTTGTAGGTGTGGTCCCCGGCCCCGGAACATGGGACCCCTGGTCTGACATGTACCAGAAGAAACCAGTCCGTGCTAGTCTCCCGCATCGGTGTGTTTTTCTCTCTCTCTCCCTTCTTCTCTCTCTAAAAAAATGCATTGAAAAAATGCCCTCACGTGAGAATATATATCAATTGCATTTTTAATCTTCCAGCACTTATTTATGAATAAACTTTTGACCATGGCTATTAAAGTAGCAAAAACTATAGGTTCATAAAATAATATTATAATTTGCCAGAAAACACATACAGCAAGACTTCAAATGTTTTCTTTAATTAAATTAAATTTATTTGTTTAATTATTTTTCAAGTACAGTTTTCTGTCTATTTCTCCCATCCCAGCCCACCCCGCCCTGCAAATGTTGTTTCATTCAATGTTGTTTCGCTGATGTTAATGAAAATAAAACAAGCCAACTCCTGGCTGGGGCCACTGTACAGAATCGGCATGTTCTCCCCATGTCTGTGCCTGGTTTCCTCCCGCATCCCAAAGATATGCACGTGAGACAATGTGTCAAAATGGCCCCAGCGGGGTGAGTGTGGGCGTGAGTGTGCCCTGCGGTGACGGAAGGGCATCCTGTCCAGGGCCGGCTCCTGCCCTGCGCCCTGAGCTGCCAGGATGGGCTCCAGCCACCCCTCAGCCACAAACCAAAAAAGTGGGTTGGAAAAATAATAATCTTCCTGGTTTTTATTCATCTTTCTTAAGTGTATGTATAGCTCACATTTACTTTAATGCTTAATATTAGAAGTGTTTGGGGTCTTTATTTAAAAGTTTGGTGGAGTTGCTGTGACCAGAAATATGGTATAGGAAACTCACCGTCATCTACATCAGTCAGCTTAGGGGGAAATTGGTCTGGTCACATGTCATTTCACTTAAGGTTGCAGTTTCCAAGAGCCTGTCTCTAACATTAAGTGAGACTTTACTGTGCCACAAAGTAAACAACCATGAGAGGAGCAGAGTGTAAAAATCTTGAAATGGACCCAAGCAAATCTCAGAATTCGCATTATGAAAAGAGGCATTTCAGATTAGTTCTGAACGACAGCAACAACGAGATAAATTACGCACAAAAGTGGTGCTGGTGTCTCTGAATAACACCATGGAGATATAATGTTGATCTCAGCCCTTAAAATAATTCATATTGTGTGAGACTTAAGGGAATCATGAAAGTCAAAACATTTAAAAAGTAACTTGGAACAGGGTAAAGTCTTCCCAAGCAAAAACTATAACGAGAAGCTACAAAAGAAAATCTTGATCAATTAGGTAATGTAAAAGGCAAAAACTTTTGTGTAGGAAAAACAAAAGTCACATCATAAATACATTTTCAAGATTTATGGGACAGCCCTGACCGGTGCGGCTTAGTGGGTTGGGCATCATCCTGCAAACCAAAAGGTCGCCAGTTCAATTCCCAGTCAGGGCACATGCCTGGGTTGAGGCCCAGGTCCCCAGTTGGGGACAGGACCTGTGGGAGGCAACCAACTGATGTTTCTCTTGCATGTTGATGTGTCTCTCCTTTTCTTTCTCCCTCCCTTCCCCTCTCTTGAAAAATAAACAAATACAATCTTTTAAAACATTTATGGCACAGAGTATTTCCTTGGTGTTTAAAGAGCTTTTAAAAATTAATTGCATAACAATAGAAAAAGAAATGTGAAAAGGGCATGAATATACACAGGAAGAGAAATTCAAAAGCCAATAAATACATTTAAAACAAAACAATGAAATACTGTTTTTTCACTATCAGACAGTCCAACATGTAAAACTTTGATGATATCCAGTGTAGGAGAGACCGTAGGAGGACCAGTACTCTCACAAACCTTTGGTGAGAGTCAGCAAGAACTAGATTTTTAGAAGACAATTTGCAATGGCTACCAAGTTTAAATGTGATCCAGCAATTCTGTGTCTAGGAATTTATTATAATGCCATACAAATGAACAAAGATATATAGACTATAGACATATACAGGTGTTCGTTATAACATTACTTTTAATAGGAAAACCAGTAATAGAAAATGGGGAACAACCCAAATGTGTGTAGTAGCTGTGGAAGTTACCCCCAGATTGATCCTGTTCCCTTTGAGCGTGGGCTGTAGTGATGACGCTAAGAAACAATTTGGTGGAAGTGATGGTAAGAGACTTTCAAGACTAGGTTATAAAAAGCATCTTGTCTTCTTCCTTGTTCTGTCTCTTGGATTACTCACCATGGGAAGCCAGCTACCACGTTGAGAAGACACCAAAGCAGCCCCGTGACGAGACCCACATGCAAGAACTGAAGCCTCTTGCAAACAGCCATGCGAATGAGTCACGTTGGAAGTAAATTCTGCAGCCCCAGCGAAGCCTTCAGGTGGCCTCTGCTCCAGCTGATTTCTTGGTTGAAACCACATGAGAGACTCAGAGCCAGAAGAACCCAGCTAAGATGCTTATGAACTCATTACCAGAGGACCATAGGATAATAAACGTTTGTTGTTTTAAGCTGATGAGTTTTGGGGTCTTTTGTTAAGCAACAATAGATAATAAGTATATTAAATAATGAAAAGCTGGTTAATACAGTATTGTACTGGCATACAGTGAAACTCTATGCAGCTGTTAAAAATAATGTCTTCTGCTTGAGATGCAGAAAGCTAGAAAGAGTACTAACCCCACACTTGCAAGATTAAAAAAAATCTGGAAAATATGCAAACTCACAACTTTTTTGAACTCATGAGAGAGCTGAGTTCACAAGGTTACATCTCACCGGAAATCTAAGGAAAAACAGGCAGGCACCTACCAAGTGAGGAGAGACTCAAACGCATGCCTACCCGGGGCAAGCACTGTGGTACGCTGGCAGGGAGAATTCAGCTAAAAGTGTTACTGGCCCAGTGTGGGTGGGTTTGCAAGGGAAAATAGAATCCCTGGGGACCACGGATATATGGACGTTTGCATCCACTTGTGCAGACTTCTCCAGGGATCTCTCTGGGCACTCGCAAAGATTAGGGAAGTCACGAGAAAGCATCTTCTCTGGCACAGAGCTGGAGGAGGGGAATATCGGTTGATACAGGAAAGGACTCAAACAGCTCAGATCCTAGTGTGTCATCTCTCTGACTAAACAAAAGCGGAGCCAACTGTTGGAGGAAAGCAATAAATACTTGAATCCCTAGGTATCTAGTAAATCCAGCCCAGTTGGGGAAAGGTAACAGAATTAAAAGCAAACCCCTGGTCCTGAGTGAGGGGCAGGAATTTGAGCTGGGTCCAGAACTGCCACTGGGGGAGGAACAGAAACTGAAGGGGACAGCCCGAAATACCCAGGACACAGTACCTGCATAACTGAGACACATGCAGACTAACTAGTGACTCTGACTAATGAGGAACCTTGGAGTATTGCTCCAATGTACGGAGAGGCTTTCCAACACGCAGAGGGGAAGACCCTCAAGCTGAGGGGGGAGCAGAGATTGAAGAAACAGATTAGGACAAACGAGCCCATACCCCAAACTCAGGTAACACGTGAGGAATTTGAGTGTCTATTGTACTTTGGGTGATTGCCACTACAAACCCACGGATCTACACAAAGGAATGAAGACTGCCAGAAATGGTAATCATGTAGGTATAAAAGTTGTTTCCCTTATTTACAGCCCTTTAAAAGATAAATTAAAAGACAGCGTTCTTTCTCTAGCTCATCTGTCTTCCTGAGATCCAGGAAGCCCACGGTTATAATGAATAATAAGCACATTTTAGCAGGTCTGTTTGTTCCCTGTAGATGCCTTTCAAATTGTAAGGAAAACAATTTGATGTGCTTCAGTTTTGTAAACACACACACACACACACACACACACTTATCTGTATTAGAGGGAAATTGCTTTTATTTCTTTATCACCAATTAAATAAATATTTCAGTGGAAGTTGAAGTTTAGGGATTTATTTATTTTTAATTATTTTATTTTATTTTTTTATTGATTATGCCGTTACAGTTGTTCTATTCCCCCTTCATTCCCCTCCACCCTACCCACCCCATCCCCAACATTACCCCCCCCTTTAGTTTATGACCACGTGTCTCAAGTTCTTTAGATTCTATATTTCCCATACTATTCTTGCCCCCCATCTATTTTCTGTCTACTGTCTATGCTACTTATTTTCTGTATCTTCTTCCCCCTTCTCCTCCTCCCACTCCCCTGTTGCTAACCCTCCTTGAGATCTTCATTTCTATGTTTCCACTCCTGATCTAGCTGTCCTTTTAGTTTGCTTTTATTTTAGGTGTGGTTGTTAATAACTGTGAGTTTGCTATCCTTTCATTGTTCATCTTTTTTTTAACTTCTTTTTCTTAGGTAAGTCCCTTTAACATTTCATATAATAAGGGCTTGGTGATGATGAACTCCTTGAATTTGATCTTATCTGAGAAGCACTTTATCTGTCCTTCCATTCTAAATGAAAGTTTTGCTGGATAGAGCAATCTTGGTTGTAGGTCTTTGGATTTCATGACTTGGAATACCTCTTTCCAGCCCCTTCTTGCCTGTAAGGTCTCTTTTGAGAAATCAGCTGACAGTCTGATGGGAACTCCTTTGTAGGTGACTGTCCCCTTAGCTCTTGCTGCTTCTAGGATTCTCTCCTTCATTTTAATCTTGGCTAATGTAATTATGATGTGCCTTGGTGTGTTTCTTCTTGGGTCCAACTTCTTTGAGACTCTCTGAGCTTCCTGGATTTCCTGGAAGTCTATTTCCTTTGCTAGATTGGGGAAATTCTCCTTTATTATTTGTTCAAATAAGTTTTGCACTTGCTCCTTCTCTTCCCCTTCTGGTACCCCTATAATTCAGATGTTGGAGTGTTTAAAGATGTCCTGGAGGTTCCTAAGCCTCTCCTCATTTTTTTGAATTCTTGCTTCTTGACTCTTTTCTGTTTGGCCATGATTTGCTTTCTTCTGGTCCACACCATTGATTTGAGTCCCAGTTTCCTTTTCATCGCTATTGGTTTCCTGTGCAATTCCATTCATTTCAATTAGTTTCGCCTTCATATGTTTGTCTAATTTGTGGCTATAATCAACCAGTTCTGTGAGCATCCTGATCACCAGTGTTTTAAACTGTGCGTCTGAGAGTTTTGCTATTTCTTCATCGCTTAGATTTATAGGCTCTGGGGCTTTGAGATCTTCTTGAGCCATTTTTGGTCTGTTTGCGCTCATTAAGTATGAGGAGCGGAGCCTTGGACTCCCAGGTCGCTGGATTGTGACGCTGTATGTGGGGGCGGGGTCCGAGCGGGGAAATGGCGGCCCCCTCTGCTGTTTCTCGCAGCTTGGTAAGGAGCAGAGCCTTAGCTTGTTCACCGGGGCAGGGCCACTTAGGTCGCTGGATTATGACGCTGTATGTGGAGGCGGGGTCAGAGCAGGGAAATGGCGGCGCCCTCCGCTGGGGCTGCTGGCTCTCGTCCAATCGCCCACTCCCTCGCTTGTCTATCCACACACGAATGCGCGACCACAGTCAACCCGCAGCCCTGCTCCCTCGCTGTTTCCTGCGGTTACTCGCTGAGTTGCCCACCAGGCCCAACCCTGTGCCTGGGTTCCGTGTGCCTGAGTCCGTCTGACCGAGTTTTCCTGTGCTACCCCGCTCCGCCAGTTGCTGGTTTCACCCCTCTTACCGGTCAGGCTAAAGAATTTGTTGTTATCAGACTTCCAAAAAGTTCAATTTTCTGTGTTCTGGCTGTGTTTTCTGTTGCTATTATTTAGTTTTCTCTAAACTTGGTTGTGTGAGAAGGCACGGCACATCCACCTATGCCTCCATCTTGGCGGAATAGGGATTTATTTAATTTTTGAGCTATAGAGCACATGTTGTGATTTTTTTTGTTTTTATTTGTTCATTTTGGTCTCTCAGCAAAAGATATCAAAATTGTTTACAGAATCTCATATTTTATAGATATTTGTTATTCAAAATAATCATGACAGTTCTTCCAAATAACTGTTCAAAACATACAGATCTAACCTCCACATCAGAAAAAGAACCGACTTTGAAAAAATCTATATGTTATGGAGTTTATAACACGTGTAGAATTAAAACGTGTGACAACAGTGGAACAGAGGGGATCCCCCATCTCCCATCCCCCACCCTCCCAAACAAGGAAGGCAAAGATGAAAGCGCCTGCTCTCTCCCAAGGGCCACTTGTGGTTTCCCTCCCCAGGCAGCGCACCTCTCGGGGAGGGCCTTCCAGCCACTTCTCCTTATGTAAATGACTTCGGTTTCTCCGCCACAAGTGGAGGAGGGACCTGCCCTGGAATCAGACTCCAGCAGGTCAGAAACCCCAGCTGCTAAAGCACAGCAGCTGCAGAGCAGCAGCGCCTGCCCTTGGCTCCCCAGTCATGTCCTGGCAGCTCTCTCCAGTGATGATGCTCTTCGCTTCCCTGGCCGGTAAGTGACACATGTGACTTTGCATAGTGACCTGCCATGTCTGGTCCTATTAAGCCTAAATGCATTTTGGTGCCACCAGTGAAGGCGAGACAGGGCAGACAGGAGACAGCTGTCGTAGCTTCAGTTACTGTGGTGTTTGGCTCAGGAGCCGGCTCCTTGCTGTTACCTTACACACGGGGGTGCACTTCATTTATTTCAAGGGCTTTAACAGTGTGCACTTGCCTTCTGAGAGTTAGGCAGAGTAGGTGTCAACCCCAGAAGACAGTGACTCTGTCTCTGGTTCGCAAATGGGACCTGGGCACCTTCTCAGGGGGAGTTTGTCGAGGTCACTTATATTTAAGAGAAAGGAGAATGGAGCCCAGGCTCGGACTTGGGGCTCTTGCCACAGGGTCTGGGAAAAGCACCTCATCTCTTGGTTTTCCTGTTTTCTCAACTGGAAATGCTGTATTTGTATCACGTACATGGGGAATTGTGAAGATGAGTGAGATGTGGTCTGAAAAATTGTGCCATTTCCAAGAGTTATCAGCCAGGAAGGACATCAGAGATTTAAAAATATTAGCGTTATATTTCAGATCAGAGAGGCTGTGGGAGAAACAGCTTTCCGTGCCTACGTTATGTCTCCAACCCCTGCTTTCACCAAGAGCATTTTCTGTCTAAGCCACTGAGTCCTCTTGTGTGCTGTCACCAGCTGTGCTGGTTAATGCACACTTCCTTCCAGAACGAACTCTGTCCACACAGCCCAGCTCACATGCTCAAATGGGGGACACAGAGGCACAGGGGTGTAAGATGGATTGTGATGAAAGTCCGGTGAAGGGCCAGGCCAGCTGCCCTATTCCTGACTGTTTATTCTTGTGCCGCATGTTCAAAAGTAGAGTTTCCCATTCTTTTGGCAGCAAAGGGGGAAGTCATCATTTCATTTAGGAGGGCAAGCTAATAAAGCAAAAGATCTCAGTCCAGCAGGAACTCTCTGTGAGAATTCGATGGCTGACAGATGACTCACAGATTCAGGAAGGCAATGAGGGCTCAGTAAACACAAGTGCAGGTTGAGAGGAAACGCTGCAAGTTCTCAGAGGCGAACTGAGTGAATGAAGCATGGGAGGGTGCCCTGTTTTCCACATGAGGGGACTGAGGCTGCTCAGGGAACTGCTCACGGTCACTGAGTCAGCAAGGCGCAGCCGTGAGACGTGCACCTCAAAAGTCAGGCTTCACAGTTCATGCTCCTCGCTGCTGCACCTGCACGCACAGGTTCAAGAAGCTCTTCTTGAATTGGAGATGGGACGACCATTAAATATTTTGTTAGTAGAGACATAGCTTCTAGGTAACCAAGCTGTGTAATTGTTATCCAGGCACTTTGCTTCCCTGGCCTCAAATATCTTTCCAATTAAATGAGGGAATTTCAGTTTGTGTCAGTCAAAGTTTAGGCTCACCTGCACATAAGAGACAAGCTCCATATAATATGAACTAAGCAAGACAAATGTTCATTTCTCTCTGGTGTGAAAACAAGTCCAGAGGAATTCAGACCCAGTCTGGTGTAGGGGCTCGTTTTCGTGGACCCACCATCCTATGTGTGACTTCTGCCTCAAGGGGTTTCCTCCTGCTTCCTAAGCTCTGCTGGAGCTACAGCCATCGCACACGACTCGCACGCTGGTTAAAGGAGAGACACAGACGAGCCATAGAGAAGCAGCACGGGCAGTTGAGCTCCCTTCCAGCAGCCATCCCAGAAGGCCCACCTAACCCTCCCCCTTCTACTGCCTTGGCTCAAATTCAGTCACCTGTTCCCACCCAGCTGGAAAGGAGACTTGGACTTAAGGTTCTTTATGCCAGGCGGCAGGTGCTCAGCTAAAACGCAGTCCTATTACTAAGGGAACAGGGGAGACTGGGTATTGGGGTCGTCATCCAGCAGTCTCCGCCACGGGGCTAGAGCCCCTTCTGTCCGGGAGCTCTCTTTGAATCTCACATCTCACAGGAAACTAACAGAGGTAAGATTTATACCTTTTTGCTAAAAAGTCCATGGTTAGTTAAACTGTGACATTGTGAGCATAACTGTGCTAAGGGTGCACTCCTGCCCTGCACACATCCAGAAACAGGATTCCTGCTGTGCCCAGCTGGGGCGGCTTCTGCTGCCTGGGGACATGCCAGAGAAAGCGCTCTGGGGCCAACACAGTTCCCCATCCCGGATGTGGCCACAGTGCTCCTTGCACTGCCATCTGTGTGCCTGCGAGCTTTGCAGACACAGTGCAGCCTCCAAGACCTGCCAGCCTGCTTCCTGCTCCTCCGCCCCTCCCCCTCCCCCACACCCTCCTCATGTTCCCACCATGCTGACCCCTCTGGTGTATTCTCCAAACACACCAGGCTCTGAAAGCCTCTGTGCCTTTGCGCATACGCCTCCTCCTACCCAGGATACTATTTACTTTCTTGCCTGTGGGAAGAATATCCCCTTGTGTAGGGTTCCTCACACACGCCGCAGGGTGCAGGGCCTACTTCAGTGACAGCGCCTGTCACCCTGAGGAGCGTGGTCCATCTGTGTGTCCGACTCGTGTGGCTTCGAGCCCCTGAGAACAAAGACTTCCCCCCAGTGCCTGACACAAGCTTGACTCACAGGAGGCTTCAACCTTTCTGTGCCACACTAGGAGTGTGGGACGCCAAACAGAGGCTGTCAGGGAGGGACCGAGTGTCCGGGAAACACCTAGAGGAGGCACTGCGGTGCAGTCGCTGGTCTGCCGGGCTCGGCCCAGGAGTCATCTCTCAGCGCCTCCCGCAGGTTGCAGGGGAACCAAAACCTTCTCGTGCCTCTTCCTGTGGCTCATCCTCTAGAAGAGTCCCAGCAATGGGCCAAGACCCGGGGGCACCGGTTTGCTGAGTCTCCCAAATTCCGGAGAGGAGAAGCTGGGGCAGGGAGCCCGGCAAATCCATGTGTGGACTCCAGGGCTATGTTTTTTGTGGTTTTTTTTTTAGTAGAGAAGGGTCAAGACAGATTCTGAGCTATGCCCTGCCCTGGCTTCCATCTACTGCACTCTTTGGGGGTCTCAGACCAGTGAACTTTGACCTCTGTGGGACCATAGGTCTCATTTAAAAACTACGACCCAATTTTGACAAAGATTAGTCATATATGTGTGAATATATATACGTATATATTTACTATATATATGTGTGATTACATACATGCATATAGTAAAACAGAGTATTTCTGAGAGTATCCTTTCCATTGAGTACCTAACAAATCCATGAACTTTCTGGGATGTATTACAATGAAGTGCATACCCGCCTCTGTCATGTTCCCGTCTAATCACCTGCCAACCTTTTACATCCCACTGTCCTCCAGAGAGATGGGGCAGGAAGGGAGGGGCCATAGAGGAGAAGAAGAGGAACATGAGGATAACATTCCCCAGACTGGCTCGATCTGTAACGCACTCGGACACTTTCGGTCAGTTTTGGTTCAGCCACCTGCCAGCCCAGCCTTCTGTCCACCACAAAGTCACATACTATACCAAGACTCCATGACCGCCAACACCCCAGCCACCCGCAATACTGTCTCCTTACCAAGCACACACCGTGATGTCTACCACAGGTCTTCTTGTCCCGTTGGGGGCTCTCTGCATTCGTGAATGACCGTGTGCTCCCCGCCTCATTTGCATCCTTTCATCGTTACTGAGAGAGGAGCTCTAATGGCATGTGAGGAGGGCTCCCCTTTTAGAGAGTGTGCTCCTCAGTTGAGAAGATTTGCTTTAGCTCATAAGCACAAGCTGTACACAATGGGATTTTATCAAAAATCTAATGATCTCCCTAAGAGAACAAAAGACAGGTGGTTTTCAGCCTCCCAGAGTTCTCTGCAGCAGTCTTTGCTTTTTACTACAAGATATTCGTGAAAACCACATTTGGGAGTAAATTCTTTTTTTCATAGTAATAGTAGGAACTTAATGGGGTTCCTGTTGAGTTTTTGACTGAAGAAACAGCAACTCAGTTTTAGCCCAAACGAATTGTAAAAATAAAGCTTCAACTGTCAATCTTCATAACGCTCTTACAAGGAAAACTCTTGCTCCAGGCTCTACAATGTGGGCATAAGATTTCCACATACAGTGATTTGATGAAGGTTACAAACTAAATCTACAACCCAGAAAACCCACAACTATTGAGTATCATCCATTTCAGTTATCCAAATGAACATTTAGATACAAAAAAGATGCTCTGATAGTAGTCTCAAGTAATGTAATGTCACTACTAATTTCCTTTTGGCCCTGACTGGTGTGGCTTAGTGGGTTGGGCATCATCCTGCAAACCAAAAGGTCACCAGTTCGATTCCTAGTCAGGGCACATGCCTGGGTTGAAGGCCGATTCCCTGGTAAGGGGCATGTGAGAGGTAACCAATCAATGTTTCTCTCCCTCTCTTTCTCCCTCCCACTACCTCTCTCTAAAAATAAATAAAATATTTTTTAAAAATTTAAAAAAGTAATAATGTTATTTCTGCAACTGTGCAGAAATCATTTTTTAAAAGATTTTATTTATTTTTTAGAGAGAGGGGACAGGAGGGAGAAGGAGAAGGAGAGAAACATTGGTTGGTTGCCTCTCACATGCAACCAACCTACCAAGGACCTGGCCTGCAACCCAGGCATGTGCCTTGAGTGGGAATCGAACCAGTGACCTTTTGGTTTACAGGATGATGCCCAACCCACTAAGCCACACCAGCCAGGGCTGTGCAGAAATTATTTATGTGTTACTACTGGGCTTAAAGTTAGAACTTTTCTGGAAAATAGTCACTATTTCAGCACATGAGCCTTTGAAAGTCTCACCAAGAACCACCAATATGAGGGCTTGGTGAACTGAGGTCCCTAGAGAGACACCCTACTATTCTGCTGTCCTCTGTTTTTGTCTCTTCTCTCACTGCTCTTTGCAGTGACACATACCACCTCCACTATCCCCAAATCCAAGAGCAGTCTTTGGTTCAGACAGAATATTGTCTCAGTTCTGAAATTTAGTAGTCATGTGATTATGATTAACCTGATAGAGTTTTCTAACCCTGAGTTTCCTCATCTGAAAGTACTGGGATCAAGATAGTACCAACCAGAGGGTTTCGAGAGGAGTTGGCGAAAGTTGACCTATAGTAAGTGTACAGTATCTTGGAATGTGTTGTTGTTATTATTATTATGGGAAAAGAAAGCACTTACAATTATTGAATAAAAGAGGGAGAAAGTAAAGGAGTTTAGGGATGATTTTTTATTTATATGGACATCAGAACTCTATGAACACCAACACAGAGGGACCCCCTTTGCCTTTTCCCAGTGTTTTCCCATGTCACCACCCAGCACCAGGCAGCCACAGCTCCAGTGGGCGCCAGTGCAAAGGGTAAATACAGTGAAACCACAGCATCGCAAAGACGAAGCCCTCTCTCTCTCTCTGTGTGCTGATCACAGCTTCCCAAGGAACATCGTCAGCACTTTGTCCACTTTTCTGGCGTGCTACATGCCTGGACGGAGACAAGGATAGGACTGTGGGTTGAAAAAGAGCCAGAGGCCTTCTAAGAACCTGTGACAGTAATGCACACGGCTTAATGGTCCACGAAGGCTTTCACTTAAACCAACTCTTTTTGTTTCATTTTTTTGTTTTGTTTGTTTTTTGGCTTACCAACTCTATTCAGCCTTATGGTAGTCCTGAAAGTCTACAGCCCTATTACCCTCATGTACCCATTCATTTATGTTTTCATCCAATCCACATCCACTGAATACTTTCTATGCATAGGCACTGGTGGTGAAAAAAAGACACACAGTTATCACCTTGAGATTGCTTTTAGTCTAGTGGGAGAGAGGTACAATCAGCAAATAAATGAGTAAATACTTCATCAGGGCCAATATGCCGGTGCAGGCTGTCTTGCCAGGCTTGTTGTTCAATGTTTGTATTCCACCCCCTAATACAATCACAAGTTGTGATTAGTGAGGTGAAGGCAACAAACAGAACACTGCGACGGGGCTGGCAGGGCGGGGGGCTGGTCTACACAAGGAGGACAGGGAGCTCTCGGAGGAGCTCACGTGCGGGTGGGCACAGGCTGGCTTACAGCTGTCAGTCTGGGAAACACAGTTCGTTCTTGTATTATTATTGACTAATTATTACATTATTTATTTTATTTTTTTTCTTTTTCTTCTTCTTATTTGATATCCATACTAATCATTTATCTTTTAGGTAATGGTGGCTGGTAATTTAACTTACTTTTGTCTGCCTCTATATAAGTCAAAACATGAAGGGTGTACCAGAGCCCACTGGGTATATCAGAGCAATTACCACTTAATTTTATTCTTGCTTGAGAAAGGCTGGGCCACTCAAGAGGTTAAGGAAGGAAATGACAGGAGCTGGTCTATATTTAAAAAAAAACGGTGGTAGACAAAAAATGAAAGGTAGTAAATCTTCCCTCACTGGAGGTAATCAAGCACAGAAGAACAAATGGCAAATACTCATAGACCCAATTCACAGATCAAATTAGGGTTTGGACAAGATGATCTTTAAAGACCACTTTTGAATCTGGAACTCTATCATTTTGTGCAAAAGATACGATTCTGTCTCTCTCTCCCCGTCATCCACACTGTCCCAGCCCTCACAGTCCATTACAGCGGCGCTCTCCGCAGGAGCTCCCTCGCCCAGGGACTGTCGGGATTCACACTGGAAGACGGGGAATGAGGAGGCATTGACACTTGGATATCTGTGGAGCAGGGTGTGCTCCTGGTGTGCTAGGACCGCACCCCATCTAGACAAAGGGGTTGGATGCAGTGTAATCACACCCCTGTGAAAAACAGGGCCACAGCCAAAACATCACCGACATGGCCTTGTCGTAGAGTCTTGGGTGACCTTGACTTAACTGTTATGTCCTTGTAAAGTTCCTCCCAATCTGAAAGTACACATATTAATTTTTAACGAAGAATGGGGCAGTGAGCCCTTCGTGGGCACACTAACACTGTCGTTCCTTAATTTGCAGTGATTTTGCAACACGGCAGCCAAATAGGAGCAACAGGGTTTCCAGGGGTCATGGACTCCTCGCAGCCCACGACAGCAGCAACCCTCCAGACCACAGATAAACCTTCTTTTCTGCAAACGACTAACCAAGAGCCTCACAAAACGACGGCAGCAAGATCAACCAGTGGTCCCATCACCTCTCAGACAGCTGTCACGACCTCCAACTCTGAGACCTCAGCCACACACACAACAGCAGAACCTCCAACGACCACCTCCTTGGTAACTGCAAACAGCACCCTGGCCACCGGCCCAACAATCCACGTCGTAATCACAACCCAGGCCGCACCCAGCAGCTCCCACACGGCTGCTCCGGTCACTGAGGCTACAATCGGCCCCAGTGCAGCTTCCGCTTCGCTGCCCCCCACCACCCCTCCCACAGCCCGTCCGACGGGCACCAGCCCATCGACTGTCAGCCACACAGCTGGGAAGACCATCCCACCCAGTACCCAGACCACCTTTCCAGCAACTTTGTCCACGTCGTCACAGGTCAGCACAACCAGTCAGAAGCCCAGTCAGCCTACCCAAGCCCCAGAAACAACCACCGCTGCACACAACGCCACCCAAACTGCCTCACCTACCACCGTGGCTCCTGGACCCACACTTGCACCTCAGCCATCATCAGCCAAGACTGGGATTTATCAGGTTCTAAATGGAAGCAGGCTCTGCATCAAAGCAGAGATGGGGATAGAGCTGACGGTTCAAGACAGGGAGTCGGTAAGTTGGGGCCATGGGCCTGTAAGACTATCTTCAAAAAGTTCGAGCGGAGTGTGCCTTACCCAGAGTGGGCACTCCCTCCCATCCTGTGTCTTTTAAGGCAACATGTACTTGTGAGTACCTCTTACTCCATGGCACTCCATTGAAAGGGGGATCTGTTTTAGAATATGTGTCAGAACAGAAACCAACAGTGCCTGCTTGGAGAGAGGAAGGCACACCCCTTACTTCTAGCCAACACGGGCGGAGCACTGGGGTGGGTTCAGAGTCGATGCCCGCCTGGCACCACCCCACCCACTGACTTCCAAGCCTCAGTAAGTCTCCTGTGAAATGAGAAGCTTGGATTAAACGGTCTCCGTAGTTCCAGCCAGCTGTGATGCTAATGTGGAAAATCCAGGTTAACAAGAAGATTGGAGGGGCTAGGGGTGAGGCTGAGATGATTAGATTTACTCAAAGAATCGCCATAAAAATTGTGCTTTCTTTTTCTGCACAGTTTTTATGATTTCAAACAAAATTTCCACCTTTGAAGCAGAAGTGTATCACATAGCAAACCTTGCTTATATGCCTTCCAGCATGTGCAACCTAACAAAAATGACATCCCACTCAGTTTATCAGGAACACACCTGCCGAGAGTTATCTGCCCAGGAGCTCCTCGCTGTGGGAGAGCTCCTTCAAAAAGTCCTTTGAACCTGATGGTTTGGAAATGGGAGGAGTCGGTCAGGGACTTTGAAATTCTCGAGTGAACAACAACTAGCCTTGAGTTTCAGGCTCACTTACTAGTCTGTGCCTTGGCTTCTGGAGCTGGAGTTTTCTCCTGTATCTCAGGGGGCTGATCTATTTTATTTGGTTTAGGTTTTTTCACCTCAGCGATACTTCAACATCGACCCCAATGCGACCCAAGCCTCTGGGAATTGTGGTTTCCGAAATTCCAACCTTCTCTTGAACTTCCAGGGCGGATTTGTGAACCTCACATTCACCAAGGTGAGGACGGAGCTCCTTCACGTGGGGGCCCGGTGGTGCAATCCCACACTCCACTTCAAGTTCCAGGGGAAATAGATCTCAGGGCCTTTTGAGATATTCTCTGATAAGAATGAGGGGCATGGAGATGGAGAGGAGGAAAGTGTCGACATCTTGTGTTTGCCTTCTTCCCCCTTCAGCCTTCTCTGTGCAGCTCAGAAGGCCTTGGATGCCTCTTAGGGGACACTTGGCCCTGAGGAACCTGGCCGCAGGTGCCCTTTGCAAACCACCCAAAGGAGGAAGTTTAGCGATGAACAGACCCAGAGGAATTCCCAGTGGACACCCCAGAAATGAGATTATTCTGAGAACAAAACCAAATGTCAGAATGGGTTTTTCCAACCACAGCAGGCAAAATCCAGGGACTAACCAGGCCCTGGGTTTTCCAGACCGTATCCTGGGAGGGTGTAAACAACAGACTAGAACAGAAAGAACACAGATGTGAGGTCAGAGTCTCGGCTGCAAATTTGCTTCTGTCGTTTGTTCTCTCTGTGACAACAGGCAGGCAATGTACACTGTCTGCACTTTGTTCTACCACTTGAGAAATGGAGGGAGGGAATGAGAGACCACCTCGGTGAACGGCATTGTCTAGTACAAGCAAAGGAGACGTTCGATGATCAGGAACTGAGTGATGGGAATGACTGAAGCGGGCAGACGTCCAGGGGAGACAGTGTTGCCCCTGACAGTGACCAGAAGAGCCTTTAAATACAGGCCAAGTAAGAGCCGAGGAGGGGGTGCTAAGAGGACCCTTGCAGCTGCAACTGTGTGATCCCCTCTTACTTGTCTAATGTGACCCCTGAAGTCGTAGGAGTCACAGTTAGCAGACCTTGGGTACGTGTAGAATTGGGGTCAGACAAACCAAGATGGACTCTCAGCCACAGTTACTTACCAGCTGCATGATCTCGAGCCACTGAGGCCTGTCCCTGGGTTATAAAATGGAAGTAAGTCCACCCAGCTAATAGGACCTTTGGGAGGACTAGAAATGGTGTATGAAAACCATCTAGCACGGTGTGTAATACAGGGGGTTGTTAGTGATGTCACTGCTATTGGCTTGGTCTCAAAGCCTTGCTCCCCAGTGTGCACTTCTCTCCTTAGGGCAGAGATGCACCTGAAAAGTCAGCGGTTTCCTTCCAGCACCGCATGGGAAAGCGGTGACCCCTCCCACCGGAAGGACAGTCAGGGCAGAGAGAGTGCTCTATCCCTGGACAACTGAGGTTAAACTACAGAGGTGTCGGGGACTTTTAAAAAGTCACTTCAGTAAAACAGCAGAGGATATAGGTATGGGCATTGCTGCCGCAGTTCAGGGCCGTATTGCACCCAGACCTCTGCTTATGGGGGTGACTGCTGCTCCTGGGGTGACCACCTCTGGGAGGATGTGCCAACCTCCAGCACCGACTGCAGCTCACCGCAGCCACTGCTGCCAGCCCGTGGGTGGGACCACCAGCAGGAGTTTCCTTGGCGCCCTCAACTTCTTTTCTTGCTACGCTCCTGTCTCCTGATGTACCCGATCCCTGCCTTTCCAACACCTTCAGGCTGGTCTCTGTATTTGATCAACCTCCAACCAAAGGCTGAATTCCTGTCTTTCTGGAAGTCCTCTGTGCCTCCAGAGGTGTGGGCTGGAATTGAGCACCCAGACTGAGCTAGACGGCCCAGCAGGGCCTCCCTCCCTCCATGGCCTTCAGGAAGGACCCGGGCAAGCCACTCTCAGTCCACATCCCCTAGTGTCGCTGCAGCCGCTTCCAGTCTCACCTGCCAAATTCACCTTATTCCCCAGCACCAGTTCCCCAAGCAGGTGACTTCCCTATGCAACCGGAGGAAAGCAAAGAGGCTGGTAGGAGATAAACATTCCCAGCAGCCTTGGTCCTTCTGAGGAGTTTCTGCATTGAAAAAGAGAACTGGTTTAGAGCTCCCCGCGCTCCCCGCCCTGCAAACAACCACAAATTCAAAGATTACAGGGGGATTAAGCATAGAATTTAATGAATGAAGGCAGTAGGCTAGCAAATATTTCTTTTTTCCTTGAAACAGGTGGTAATTTTTTATTTTCTCACTTCTTTAATAACAAGATATTTTTAGTTAATTCAATTAACAAAGATTTTAAAACAGAGTGATGCCTAATGTGGGCAAGGAACTGAGTACGCTCAACATTTCTGGAAGGAGTTTGCATTGTGCCCTATGACCCTAGGTCTTCTATGTCTTCTTCCCCATCTTGTCGTAAAAATATTTTCCCACTGTCGATGAAGACTGATATGAAGGAAGATTTCATTTTTCCATTAAATCTGCATGAGAAAACCATCAGAGTAAGCCTGAGAGGTCAGTGGCCACCAGCAAGGCCTCTGCAGCGAGGAGACGAAAGGCAGGGAGTGCGGGCGCTGCCCGGAGGGGCAGCCCCCCCAGCGGTGGGCGGCACCTAGCCTGGCGCCTGCCGGAGCGTTTTATGGCAGGCACTGCCCTCCTGTGCCGGTTGCTAAATATTCTACACATCACCTGATAGAGGTGATGAGAGACCAGCGTGGCTCGATCTGATTGTTTAAGAAAAGGCAAGAGTTCAGATCTTCCGCTAAAAATACACGATTTTTAAGTGTTGGCAGCACATTTTTAGAAAGTTTGAACATTCCCCCGTCCAAACACACACAATATAGCTGTGGGCCGCACTCCGCCTGCGGACCCAGCGCCGCGCCTTCTGCCCTAACAGGCCAGCTGTGTGACATGCAGGGGGCAGGAAAGCCGCCTGGCTGCTTCCACGAGAGGAGTGGGCCCAACCAGTCAGTCAGCCACGTTTCGAATAGTGCTACATTCTGCACCGGCCTGTCTCATCAGACGCAGGAGAAACGTTTGTGGTCAGACGAGTCCTTGGGGTGGGGGCTGTCCTGTGCCTTGTGGGGTGTTGAACAGCATCCCTGGCTTCCCCTTTTGGGGTGTGGCAACCCCAAATGTCTCCAGACATGGCCAGTGCCCTCCCACAGGCAGAATCACCCGGTCAAGGCCCAGTGCTCTGGAGAACAAGAGAGTCTTGGAAAACAGGAGTATATGTTGGTTATAATGTAGCAGATGTGACAGGTGAGCAGCCAGTTGTGGAATGATACATGGATGGCGATTAGCAAGCCTGATTCATGGACCGATTAATCAGTGAGAACTCATTGAGCACTGAGTTTATCCTCAACCCTGAGCTAGACACCACAGTGAGAACAAAAAAATATATGGGCTGTAGTTCCAAGTGTCAAGTCATGGACATCATTCGTAATTTTTTTCAATGGAAATATAGTGACAGAAATACAGAGAAAAATCTGCCTCCTAAACTGTCACTTGATGTTGTTGTTCAGTGAAGACTTTCATTGTCCATGTCATCGCCATGTGACCGTGGACAAGTTGCTGGTTCTCTCTCTGAGTCTGTTCCCTCTCCCACACGATGGGACGGAGCGACACCTGTTCTGTCGGTGCCTGTGAGAGCAAACCGGGCTAGCACGTGTGAAAGTGCTAAGCGTGGTTCCTGGCCCATGGTGGGGTTGGGCGAGAGGGTTACCTTTCTCATTTCTCTCAGTTTCATCTTTTTAAAAGAACTCAACATCTCTCCATGGCAGTGTCTCATTTGATTAAAACGACCTGCGGAAAGCTGTTCAGGCCCTCCAGGTGCAAGATAAATGCACCGCCCTTCCCCTGCCGACTTCCTTCCTGCCCAGGGAGTTGGTTTTAAGAACACCTTTCAGAAACTTGGTGTGAAGTTCATTTTTCCATGTTCAACACTATCCCTTTCTTATGCACCTGGCTGGCAGGGCAGCTCCAGGACCCCGGAGAAATCAGTCACCAGCGGGGAAGGAGGTGTGCCAGGACTACGCAATAAACTGGCCGGTTGAGTTCTGGCAATCTGCTGCTGCCGCTGACCCACCTCGTGTTTCCTTAGAACCTTCCAGGGGCCTGTGGAGTCCTCTCAGCTTAGAGGCTCCTGAGAACTGTGACCAGTGTTTGATGTTAACACCACACAGGCCACTGTTCAGAAGTTCCCAAGTATACAGTAGCATTTTATGCCGTTTTCCCTCTGCCTGGAAGGCCCCTCCCACCCATCAGCCCCCTTTTGCCTTCAGCCCTTAAGATGGATGAATTATCTTCAACCCATAAAGTCTCCCCCACCCCCACCTCCATCCCAGGGAAACCTGGGAGACTTCTTTCTCGTAGTTTCCTCACCTCCGTTAGTGTCCTCATCATGCATTCTGCCATCTCTGACTTAGTCACATTCCTCTCCCTAGTGCCCAGCCCCACCTTGGTACATAGTACATAGCACATATTTGATGAAGAAATAAGTCAGTATTTAGTGATCCTAAATTTTACAGAGAACTGGGCCAAGGCACCAAAAAGGCGATCAGCAGCTGTAGAGAAACAACCTCTTTGGCTTCCTTTGCTATATCCAGAGCAAAGGTGTCTTGATGTAGTCACAGCAATGCTGAGTGAAAAAGACCTGATTGGTGTTGAAGGCAAAATCCACATCCTGAACATCTGTGACCGCGAAACTCCTGCAATATGCTTTGCAGAAGTAAAGGAGAGGCTCCTGGGCCCGCAGTCATCAGCCCGCTGCCTTTCTCAGCAGGCTTCATTGGCTGGCTGGCTGGCTCGGGGCCAGTCCTTTGCTAAGGAGGGTGTTTGGGTCCCTTGAGGAACTAGAATCTCTCCCATGAGATGTTGCAGAGCTCTCCATACTGGCAGTGCAGGGCCACTGTGTCAGCAACCCACCTGTTGAATAGTGAGGTGAGACTTTTGCAAGTAGTCTGTTCAAATGGACATGACTGTATGGAGTCCTTGACATCCTTTTGTCAATGTTGATGGTACACAAAAGATCTTAATTGTGCCTTCAAAAATATGGCATAGTAGATGTTTTTCATTCTCCAAACCAAACCCCAAATAAGAAAAACATGTCAGAGAAGAATGGCCGTGTGGGTGTGGGTATCAAAGATAAAAAGACACCACAAATGGAAAAATGTGTTGCATGTAATTTCCCTTGGGCTTTGGGTTAAGTCTAACACCTGCTTGAAGCTTCCCACCCGGCCCACTGCCCCTCTCCTCTGTAACCACCAGACTGCTGTCCCCCAGAGCGCAGGGTTCAGACTCCTTAATCACTAGAGCTGAGCTCACTCACTTGTTCTTTTTCAATTCGTGGTAGATATGAGCTCTAGGAAATAGATTAAAAATATAGCATGTAACCTCAAAGAGAGAAGCTTATTAGCAATGGAGGACCTGTGTGGTCAGGAGGGCCTGGACTTGGTTTAATGCTTTGCTGTCGCCCCTTGAAATTCTTAAATGATTTTTGAACAAGAGATCTTACATCTTTCTCTCTACTAGACCACACAAATTATGTAGCTGGTCTTGCTTCTAATAGATGGGTATGTAAAACAGCTGCATTTCAGCGAATATGAAAGGAAGTTCTTGCCTAATGAATTTTTGTCTATAACCACATTCTGATGGAGGAAAATGTAGGGTGGGATCCTGTAGACAAGATCTTGCTTTGTCTGACCTATGCAACAATGGGAACCAGAGCTGGATGCTTAACTTCACTGAGCCTTTTTGTTTTCAGCTGTAAAATGGGCTTATAATCTCAGGGGTTGTTGCAAGGATCAAAGAAAGCAATATAGGTGAAAGCATATGCTTAGTAAACTGTGAAACTTCTGTGGAAATACGAGGCATCCCTTCTCTGTGTGAGGACAGATCAAGGAGGTGCCACAGGAAAGTGGAGATTCCAGGCGGTCTCCCACGGGGCTCAGAGCTGGCCTCACCACGCCCTGCTGCTCCTCAAATCAATCTCACACTGCAGCCCAAGCAATTTCCCAAACCAAAGCTGTGCTCCCGTCACTGTCCTGCATAAAACGTTTCAGGGAACCCTCTCTGCCCTCAGGATGGAGTAGGGTCTGAGCACTGAAGATGCCCGGGCACAGGTATCTCTTGTGCTAAAGGGAAACCCAAATAAAAATCTGAATGAACAGTATGTGCAAGCAATCCAAGAAGGGACTGGATCACAGATGTGTCTCTCTAAAACAAATGGATTGTTTGCTCTGGCAGGGTGACTCAGTTGGCTAGAGCATTGTGGGTTTGATTTCCAGTCAGGGCACATACCTAGGTTGCAGGTTTGATCCCCAGTTGGGGCAGGTATGGAAGACAACCAATCAATGTGCCTTTCTATCTCTCTCTCCCTTCCTCTCTCTCTAAAAATTAGTGAACATATTCTCAGGCGAGTATTTAATAAATAAAATAAAATAAAGTAAAATAAAATAAAATATAATAAAATAAAATAAAATAAAATAAAATAAAATAAAATATAAAATAAAATATAAGCTCCAGGCACATTGTCAGACTAATCTTTGAGACCTGAGACTGAGCACTTCAAAGGAAAGAGCCAGGTTGTACTCTCCTCCCCGGGCTGAAGAGCAGTGCCTGGTCCAGAGTGAACGTAAGAGAGGTTAGAGGCTACATTTGCACACAGGCAGATGGGGGGTCATTTCTTTCTGCCACCGATTACGGTGATGACCTTGGGCCAGTCATGGAACCTACATTTCCTCTCATAGCTGTGAGGGTTAAATAAGGCATAGTACGTGTCTGCTCCAGGACCTGGCATGAGTCAGTGTGTAGTAGGTGAATTCAATGAATTATCAGACCCAGAGTTCAGTGTATCAATAGCAGTTACCTTCCGAAGACAATCTGTATTTCTGGAACCCTTATATTGTGTAAGGAATTATTTCATCCACGAATAATATACAAATGTGGCCGAGATTATTATTCTTCAATTTCTTTAATGCCTAGATTTGAAACTTTTAAAGGTAATTCAATTTGAAATTCTGGATAAAACGTGGAGACTCTAACATTTCTGAGCGCAACCACCTAGGTTCCTCTTCTGCAGACACCTAGTGACCGCAGGGGAAACCATTTCTTTCCAGAATCACTCACTGTGCCCCCATGTAACCACTGTGGAAACATGGACACATGTATCTGAAGGACTTGATGCTCTAGCCAGGGAAATGCAGGCAAAATTCTGCATGCACTGTTTTTCCCCAGCAGGTTTATACTTCCCCATAAAGTCCACCCATGGTAGCCTTCAGGAGGAGTGGCCTCAGTTTGCACCCCTACAGTAAGATACTAATTACAAAAGGTTAACATGTGGTCCTCCAACCCTTCCACCTTCCAGATGTGTTTACATTTTATTGGGGGAAATGGCCCAGTTGGAGGAACTCAAATTGTACTGGTGGAATTTTAAATTCAGACTCTAATAGCAGCTATGCAGTAGAGAAATTTTGGGCCAGGGGCAAGCCATTAGTTATTATTTATTTATCATGTGGTCATTTACTTTTACTTGAAAAATTTTAACATAATTATGGCTCCATACCAACACAGCTCAAACCCCCATATCAAGGATTTAGTAGCTAGAGTCTTTGCCTGAACAAAGCGTATAGTATACACCAGAATCATGAACGTGAAAACAGAAGTACCCAAAGGTTAACGCGTTGGTGTTTTATAGGATGAAAACTCCTACTACATCAGTGAAGTGGAAGCCCATTTGATGGTCTCGAACCCAGGTAAGAAGCCAGAGAGGGCTGTTCTACCAGCGGTGACACTGCTTCTGGTTAGTTCACATTTGATCCTGTAGAATTCTTGAATCTTCGATGCTGCTTTTGAGAAACAGACTGAGAGAGTAGCCCGTGGTATGTATAATTTGGAGGGAACTTACTATATCTTCGTGTACTTCAGTCCATCCATCTGCTCGTGAAGGAGGTTGGTCTACGTTATGTCAGAAGTCATTATCAGCAACAGTAAAGAGTGTAGTGACTTTGGACAGATTTGTTGTTGAGGGTGCAGTTTCTTCTATAGTCTTAAGAGTCATGCATTCATTCCCCCAAAAATGTGGTTCGTGCCTGCTAGGTACCAAGCCCTGAATACATTGGGAATCCATCATTATCTAAATGGGTAGTCTCTGCTCTCAGAGAGCTTACATTCTAGAAGCAGGGAGAGGACCATAAATAGACACATTAAATGATGATACACAGTTAAGTAGTGAAAAGTTCTATGAGCAAAATATAAGCAGGGAGGGGTGGAGAGGACTGGAAGGTTGTTGTAGGTCGGGCCTTCAGGAAACCTTCAGGGGAGGAAGGCCTCCCTGAAGAGGTGAGGTTTGAGCAGAGAGACATGGGGACTTCTGGGCCAAGGGGAGCCTTTCTGGGTGGCAGGAACAACAGATGCACAGGCCCTAAGGAATGAACTTGCTAGTGTGCTCAGAGACCAGCAGGGGCCAGTGAGCAAGGCAGCAGATGAGGTCTGAAGGGCAGCTAGGCCAGAGCATGCAGAGCCTGTGGCCAGACAAGGTGAGGACTTTGGAATTTATTCTAAAGTGTGAAAGGATGCCGCCGGAGGGGTTGGTGTAGAAGAAAAATGATACATTGACTTTACATTTCTAAAGCTTCAGTTTGGTTGCTGTATGGCGAATTGCCCAGAGTGGAGCAAGTCGAGAGAACTTCTAACATGTTCGCTTCTAGAAAAGTAATGCTGTCAGAGAAGAGTGGGAGTTTCTCCGAGGCCTCACGTGTTTCTCTGGGAAGCCCAGATGTAGATAACAGATCATATTGTGCGCCACTGTACTGAGTTTTCATTTCTTTCTTCTCCTTTTCATATTTCTCTTTTGACTGGCTTAAACTTATTGTTTTATTAAGGAACTTATACTAGAGACATGCACCAAGAAATGAAAATGTGGAGAAATGTCTATTTTAAATACTAGCTATGTTATAGTAATGCTATTCAAGAGGATGTGTTCAAAGATTATTGCTAAAATGTAAGTTGGATGTCATAGTCAATAGCTCACTTTCATGTACATTAACTCTCTTAGGTAAGTATACTCATACAGGCCGGGAATAAGTATTGGGAAAGCTAACGTGCATTAGCTAACGTTATCATTAGGCACGGACCAAATTTTAGGCAGTAATAGGGCAGTAATGCCTCTAGAGGCAGGGGAAGAGAAAGTAAGGCCAGAAACTAATTTAGAGGCTGAGGGAAGGGACAGAGCAACTCCAGGTCCCAATAAGCAGGGCGCAGCAGTAGCAGCAGCAGCAGAACACAGTGTGCTATCACAGTAGTGACAATTCTCATGTAGGTGATGAGGGTGGTATCAGTAAGAGTAACAAGTTTTAATTACATGGTAGTGATCGTCGCAGCATTACTGGGGGCGGCAGTAGTAGACCACCCTGTGATATAACACACGATACAGCAGTGTACGCAGACAATTCAGAGCATCGTGCAGGGCATTTGCTCATGCAGATGCAGAGTCTGCAGCAACTCCAAGCAGAGCACTGGAAAAAGTGCCCAAAGGGCAAGAGTGTGATTTTTTTATGAGAAGGCAGAACTCCAGAGTGTGGCTTTCTTTATGAGAAAGTCACAGCTAAGGGAAGGCCATTTGACTGACACGGGCCATGCAGCAAAGCTGGAACTCAGTGGATATGTGCCAAGATTCTTACATGACTGTATTTCACCTTTGTGTTTTCAGAGAAAACTTACCATGGCATGAAAAGTGATGCGATGGTGTTTGAGACCGTGATTGGGCATTCCTTCAAGTGCGTGAGTGAGCAGAGCGTCCGGCTGTCAGCCGATCTGCAACTGAAAACAATGAATGTCCAACTCCAAGCCTTTGATTTTGAAGATGACCACTTTGGAAACGGTAAGTTAAGGTTTCATCATGTCATACAAACTTCAGAGACCCATGGGTAGTTTCAAGTGTGAGTGTAGCTTGCTTTTTTTTTTTTCCCTAAAGCTTTTTTTCTAAAGGGCAAGAATCACGTGAGCTTCTTAGAACAGTGTGATTCCAACAGAGCTCTTAGGTCAAGTTCCTCTGGCTGACCCTCTCTCCTACCATTTCTTTATGAGTCAACACCAATCTCAAAACCAGACGCCTTAGCCCACTCCTGTCTACTGCTCTCCCACAGTGGAATACATTCTCCTTGCCTGACCAAAACACGTACTCGGAATCCTTTATACACACACACAGAACCAGTCCGTGAGTGCCAGTAAACTCAGTTGTATTTGGAGAACACTTTAAAGATCCCGAGTATTAGGGATACCTAAAATTCAAGACTTCAGAATAGATTCTTTCCTACTTACAAAGGGAGAGAGAAAAATACCATAATTCAAGATAGAGATGCATTCTATTGGTCCTCTTCTTCCCAATTATGAACAGTTTCCTCATAGTTAGTTTTACTTTCCATGTAACTTCTGCTTTGGGTTTTAACCACCACAGAGGGAAGCAGGTCCTAGAAAAAAGGCTGGTGAAAGATGGGGTGGGGAGGAGGGGGGCGTGGACCAGGGTAACTTTCCCAAAAGTCCCCTTTTCTCTGCTGGGAAAACAGTGTTACAAGGATTTCTACATATGTCCAGGAATTGAACTTCAGTGTCTAAAACATCCCTCTCAGAATAACTCAAGTGTAAATCTCAGCCTGTTCAAAGAGAACGATCACCCCAAACAGTAGGCTCCTGACTCCCACATTCTCAACCCCTCCTCCCTAAAATCCTGGAGCCAGAGAAAGGTTTCTGGATGTCAGGAGCCCCAGGCTGTCCAGCAGCCCCTTTAAGAAGTGCAGAGTTGAGTAGAAAACTTCGGCCGTGTGATCTGGTGGGGAACCACGGCTCCAGGGCTTACCCTACTTGGGGAGTCAAGACATAGTTCTGCTTCTGACCCTCTAGACCAAAGCAATGTTTCTCAAAGTCGGGTCTGCCTCCCAGCTGCATCAGAATGACCTGGCCCCACCTGCAAGCCACTGAATCATCATTTCTTGGGCATGGGGCCTGGGTATCTACAAGTTCATATGCTCCTTAAGTGATCACAGGCAGCACACGTTCCAGATCACTGTGCTGACGCTTTCCTTCCTCGTCCGCGACGTCTGAGGCAGCATGGGGAGGCTCAGCAGTTCCCTCACTCCCTCGGCTCCCTTCTCTGGGGAGCTGAGGCAGGCAGGGGCAGGATCCATTCCCAACCTGTGGCCAGCCTGTAACATCTGTTACTCTGACTTCAATTACAGAAGATGAATGCTTCAGTGACAGAAACAGGAGAGAGATCCCTGTGGCCGTGGGTCTGAGTATCACAGGACTGCTTGTCATTTTGCTAACAGCATGCCTGGTGGCCAGAAAGAGGCCCAGTAGAGGATACGAGCGCATGTAAAGCCCCAGCTTCTTCAGAATGTGCAAGGTTAAAAACTTGGGGATTCCGGCTTCCTATTCAGCCTTAAGTTAAGGGGTCGAATTTTCTTGTTGCCTTTCCCACCCTCCCAGCCTGTTAGGAAACTTAGCTAATCCAAAGGCTGGTTAAAACACAGTTCCTTCCACTTTCTTCTGTTCGTGTGGGGAGGCCGTGCCACACTAAGATGTGCAGGGTGGAGGGCTTGCATTCTACCCTGCACATCTGATAGCGGTGGGCTGGCCGGGAATATGGGGAACAAGAGGCGGGGCCCTGAGTAGGGCGCTTGTGAGGACAAAGCAAACACCCAGAGGGAGAATTGTGGGGAAGACATGTTCAAATTGCACTGATTTTTCTCACACCATTTTAAGAGTCTCAATACCCGGTCTTTAAAAAAAAATTCATTTCAAAATACATTATAAAGTGATTTTATACTCCTAGATTATGACCAAGTTTTGATTGTCTTAAATTACAGATTGTTTTCCTAGACTGTTATGTTTTTAAATACATATTTTACCCTACTGTGATGTACTATTAGTTAAAAACTAGAAACTAGAAAACTTTCCAACATTGCATTTTTGAAATGTAAAGCATGTACCAAAGATCCTGGCAAACAAAAGAAGCTCAATAAATGTTAGTTCTCTACTTCCTTCACCTTCATTTGTTGATTGCCTTCTTAACACGTTCTTTTTATACTTTGTCTCTATTTTTCTTTGATGCCAGTCTATTTTTGTAAATTTGTTAATTTGGGCCATTGTGGAAAGAGAGTAGGCAAAACAACGAACAATCAGCACTGACCATCAGAAGAGGTAGATCGACTCGGTTTATGGCCCACTTCCCCTTTTTAGGCAAACATTTACCAAAATAATTACAAACCAGGAAATCCCTGGTTGGGAGGGATGATTGATATCTGGAGGAAAAGTTCTAGTAAAATAAGGCTCAGAATGTTATTGATGGTTTTCTATTACATTGACTGTTTAAATAGGAGAATTGGAATTTTTATTTCAGAGAAAGAGGACAGTCACAGACTTCTGGATGTTAACTGCTTTTACTAACAGGAAGTTTCTTGTTTTTCTACATTAAAAGTAATCTTTTAACAGCAAGTTTATGAACGTTGGCAACAATTCCATAGCTACTGTTTATCTAGGACATGTACTGGCTTCTTCTTGAGGTATGTGAGTTCTCTCCACCTTCCAGAACTGAGGTGGTGGGGGGAGCACACAGCAGCTTCAAGAAGGTTTCGAGAGCCTGGGACAACATCTAGAGAGTCAGGAAATTCCTCTTTCCCCTTTAGAACAGGAGCTGTTGATGAAAAATCTGGGATGTGAGGGCCTGGTATTTCCCAAAGTGACGCAGGTTTAACAGAAAAGGCTTGACTTTGGAGAGATGCCATTGCTCTCCACGTCCGGTTCAGTTCTCGGTCAGGGCACATGCCTGGGTTTCGGGTTGGTCCCCAGTCAGGGTGCAACGAGAGGCAACCAGTCAGTGTTTCCCTCTCTTTCTTTCTCCCTTTCCATCTCTATAAAAATAAATAAATAAAATGACGCTGGAGTGTGAATGCTTTGGAAGAGAATGTAGACCAAAGGTTCATGATCAAAGTAAGTGTTTACAAATGCTTGTTTTTTAGAGAGAGGGGAAGGGACGGAGAATGAGAGGGAAGAAACATAAATCAGCTGCCTCTGACATGCCCGTAACAGGGGGCATGGTCTGCAACCCAGGCACGTGTCCTCACAGGGAATCAAAGCAGAGACTTTTTTGCTTTGTGGGATGGCACTCAACCCACTGACCCACACTGGTCAGGGCAATAAATAAAATCTTCAAAAAAAAAAAAGAAAGAAAGAAAAAGAAAGAGAGGAAACAAATAGGTAGCTCAGCGGGAAACATAAAATGATCTCAAACATAGTAAGAAAAAAGTTCCTAATTTACTTTAATGATATCTTAGAAAATTCAATGTCTGGATGACATGCTTAAGCATAAGCAAGATGAAAACAAATGATGTGACTACTATGCAAATTAACTGCAGCAAAGTAACAATAAGAATAGCATAAGATTAAATTAAATTACAGATACCAAGTATTAGTTTTACAATATGAAAAATGTCCTGGAGATGGGTGGTGGCGATGGTTATACAGCAATGAGAATTTCTTAATATCACTAAAGTATGCACTTAAAAACAGTTAAAATGGAAAATTTACATTATGTACATTTTGTCATAATTTTTAAAAATTAAATCAAATTAAAGAAGGGAAGGGTTAGAAAGGAATGTATTTGATAAACTACAAAGAAAATATAACACAAGGGACAGGGAGAAACCCTGACAATTACTTGACAAGAAAGTGAATTCCTTATCACCAGGGCTCACAAAAGGGATGTTATAATGAAAGAGCAAGGTAAATAGGTGATTTTACTCCTAAGAAAACAAACTGAATATCAAAGCAACACGCTTACCATAACAAATAGAAAGAGTAAGAGGTAGAATATATAGGGCTGACAACTGAATTGTCTTCATAGAGAAAATGACTGACATAACCGGTTAATGCCCACGAAATTCACATTATAACATTCCGGAGAAGCTGCTAGGGGCGGCAGCTGTTTAGACCATTCAACATAAGGACAACTGGTGCCCTTGAACTGGAGAACTCAGAATCAGAATGAAGATATATTTGATGGTTTCAGAACTTTTTCTTAAAATCAGTCACTGAAGTCGTAGATTGAAAGAACACGGTGCATCCTCCAAAAAACATTGAGATGTGCCACATTTTTTTTAAATGGCTATGTTATATTCTATTGTATGATTGCACCATTTAAAATTTTTATGAATATTTAACTTTTTCATTTTGCTCTCATAAAATGTAGATTATTGTAACATCTTTTTGTACTTATATGAATATATTTTTAGTATATTTTTGTACTTATATGAATATATTTTTGTACTTATATGAATATATTTTTAGAATATATTCCTAGTAGTGGGATTACTGGGTCAATAGTTATGTGCTTTACCTTTTGTTTGAACTTTTCTGTATTTTTTCCAAATCATTTTAAGTTCTTAACTAGTCAGTGTGGTTTTTTGAAATCTAAGAAATATATATCTAATAAAAAATATGTAAATAACAAAGTAATCATGTACTACAAAAGGGTTCATCAGGAAAAACAGCATTCCCCTGTCCTTCCTCTAAAAGATAAAGCACTTTTAATTAATTTTAACAATTTTTTATGATAACAATTTCATAATTCTTTTAAAAATATTTTAAAGGCTTCTTTTACAATTCCTTAATTTATCAGCTTTAAAATTCTTGCTAAGGCAGATACAAGATTTATTCCTTTTAGGCCCTGGCTGGGTCACTCAGTCAATTAAAGCATCATCCTGAAACACTAAGGTTGCAGGTTCAATTCCTGGTCAGGCCACATATAGGAATCAACCAATAAATGCATAAATAAGTGGAACAACAAATCAGTGTTTCTCTCTCTCCCAAAATCAATTGATAAAATTTAAAGACTTTGTTTTTTTAAAAACATTTTATCTCTTTATGACACCTTTTTAATGGTTATATCTCCATTTATTATTAAATTAGTAAGAGATATAATTATAGTTATGTAAATATTGTCCTCTACCAAGTCAAATATTGTGTGAAAAGCATCTTCCGTCTTGAACAGATTTGGATTTTTCTCTGGAGTCTTTAATTACCATTCTCTCTCTCCGCCCCTCCTGATTTTTTTTCTTGGACTTAAGGAGAGAATTGGGTAAATAATAATCCTTATTTCATTTCAATATTGGTTCCTACAAGGACCTCATGGATCTACCCTCTCTTCTACCCTTGAATGAGACGTAGATATGGTTTGCCATGTACTTGAACTCAGTCAAGCTCTGCTTTATCCCCGGGCCCTCCATTTTTCTCCAGGAGAGATCGATTACATGTTAAATGAACTGAGTAAGTACTCTCTAACGGAATGAAGAAGAAAGAGTTTTGACTACCTTACAAAATTTTACTTTTAGGCTCTAATAAATAAATAGGTCTATTTTCTAATATTTTCAGCTCAGTGAAAGTAATAAAAAGGAACGTTGAGTGTGACAAGAAATGTTTTGTGAGGTGGATAGGCATTACGTGTTTTCACGAGATCATGTGTAATCCAGTCTAGTGACATGGTTTCTTTTATGTAAACACACCACCATTTGCAGAGAGCACACCTGGAAGAAATTGGAGCTAATCTTACCAAATATCCATTGCTGAGAAGATAAGGTTATCTTACTTCATTTACCAACAATCTTACATTTTAGTTGCTTACTTTATAAAAAGAGGAAATTGCAAAGTTAAATAACCTACCCAAGTTCACACAGTTAGTTAGGGGTGGAATTAAAAGTCAAACCCAGCTCTGACCCCAAAGCTCATATTCTTCGTACTCTAGCCTGCTTTCTGGTCTACTCTTATCAAACCTTACCCCCTATATTGTATTTGTTTTTTCTCTTAGTGGACGAGTGTTCATCTGACTACACAGTTGTGCTGCCTGTGATTGGGGCCATCGTGCTGGGCCTCTGTGCCGTGGGTTTGATTGTCTATGGAATCCGCCTCAGGCGTGAATCATCTGGATACCAGAGAATCTAATTGGTGCCCCAGGGAAAAGAACATAATGGAACATAGAGAATTCTTTCATTGTTTCCAGGATACTGGGGACTTCCCTTAGAGTGTGGGTCCTTCCAACAATATAAACCATCTTTCACAAAAACCAGGTCATTTCTGACTTAAGTTCAAACAGAACATCAATTTCTGAATTTTTTTTTTTAATTTTAGGAAAGATCTAGTGAGCTGTTTAAGAGTATTTTCTAGTTTCCTGACCCTGGTTGGTGTAGCTCAGTGGATTGAGCACGGACCTGCGAACCAAAAGATTGCGGTTTGATTCCCCATCAGGGCACATGCCTGGGTTGCAGGCCAATTCCCAGCAGGGGCCAGTTCCCAGCAGGGGATGCACCAGAAGCAGCCACACATTGATAAAAAAAAAAGTTTTTTCTAGTTTCCTAAAAAATATCTTAACCATTCAAAGTCAATATTTGAGATATATTAAACTAATTAACTTATGTGAAGTGGGATATGCCTCCAATTTATAAACCAAAGCATCAAATGTAATTAAACACTACCTGTGTTCACCTTAAGGACTTGATTTTGTCCTTGATCTTTTCCATTTTAAAAAGTGCCTGTGCTTTGTCTATAAAATGGTATTACAATCCTTTAATATTTATGTCTTATATGACAAACATGCCTGGTGATCTACTAACTCCTTTCTACTTTAATTTTTTTTTAATTATCAAAGAAAACAATATTCCACAGGAAAAGCCTAGGTTTTTGGTTTGACACCAACAAGAGGAACAACTCAACTTTTATTTTTTATCTGATTATTCCTGCCCCAGAATTGTTGAAGACTAAGAATTAGGTGGCTATGGACAACAGAACTGAATGATAAGCCATAAACAACAACGATGACCCTTGATTATTGAACATATATGTACTAGACACTAGGCGAAGCAGTTTGCATAACTTTTGTAATTTATATCATTTAATTCTCATTTAATTGATATCATTAAGATGAGTAAACTCAGACTTAACAAAATTAATCACTTAAACTGCCACCCGGCTGACAAGTGACAGAGCCAGAATTCGACTTCCCATTGGTCTGGCACCCAAGTCTCTGGTCTTTTCACTGTACCAACTTGCCTACAAGAACAAGTGGCACTAAGTGCTGCCCAAGGCCTCACGCTGGCACATGCCCCATGTTTGCATAGGAAGTAGATTTATCCAGAATCATGACAGATGGGGGAGATCAGAGGAGGACTCGACAGGTAATGAAGTAGCCTATCTTTAAGTCCTCTACTCTCTTAAAGAAGATGGGGGTGCTCTGGAAGACATTAGTCAGTTTCTCATTTCAATGGGATTGTTTTGCTGCGGCTCTGAAGATGAAGAAATGAAGTCAACCGAAGGTATTTTATTTCTTTAAAAACAGTAATTTTCTCAGCCCTGGCTGGTGTAGCTCAGTGGATTGAGCGCAGGCCTGCAAACCAGAGTATCGCAATTTGATTCCCAGTCAGGGCCTGGGTTGCAGGCCAGTTCCCAGCAGGGGACACCTGAGAGGCAACCATACATTGATATTTCTCTCCCTCTCTCCTTCCCTTCCCCTCTAAAGATAGATAAATAAAATCTTTTAAAAAAAAAAAACAACAGTAATTTTCTGCAAACTAACTTTTCTTTCTTGAAGTAGGTCCCCCTCTAGTGGTAACTGACATCTTCTGTACTTTTATAGCCACATTTTCTATTCATGTTCACTTTATTTCATATAAATAAAATAAGCTGCCAAAAATAATTTCCTTTTTTGTAGCCTGCCAAAAAATAATTTCCACACTTGGCATTACTGCTAAAGAAAGGAACTAAGTCAGGACATTAACAGAAAAGACCACATGTCTCTGGCGTTCTTTAGTAAAAGGATGATAATTCAAGTTGCCCCAGTATAAATTGACTTTCTTGACTTGTTCTCTTATGAGTCAATAGGATTGGCAAGGGTCTGACTTTAGTCATAGTAGGCTATTGAACTGTATTAAAAGTTTTTGTAATAAAAACCTATTTTGGAGATTCATTTATTTCTTATAATTCAGTTTTTGTTGTATAAAAATTTTTGTTTACAGTCTTAATGGTTGGCCTTTAGCATGGAGGATGTGACTCGAATCAATGGGATAAACCATCATTCTGTGAATAACTCCTTTTGTTCTATTCTTTGGCAGTGCTCTTCCATTGCCACATTATTAACAGGTAGAAAGACCTATTTGAGAGAAACTTAATTTCTGAGAAGATAAACCACATTACAGTTACAAATTAAATCTTTCAAGTCTCAGTCCAGACTGACTGATTAGATTACTGGTTCTCTTAAGCGATGTTTTAATTCTTTCATTCAAACACCATTAATTAAGGACTTACTAAATGCCAAACATTCTGGTAGGGGCTGAGATAAATAAGAAGATCTCCTGTATTAGTTATCTGTTGCTGTGTAACAAATAACTCCAAAACTTAACAGTTTAAAACAAAAACCATTTATTACCTCACAGAGTTTCTGTGGGTTGGAAATCTGGAAGCAGCTAATTGGGTGGTTCTAGCTTAAGGTATCTCACTGGGTGGCAGCTAAACTGTTGGTCAGAGCTACAGTCTTCTGGAGGTTGACCTGGGGCTACAGGGCCTGCTTCCAAGTCCACAGCATGTGCCACATCCAGAAGGAGGCTCACGACGTGACTGCTGGCTTTTTCCAGAGCGAGTGACCCGAGAGAGAGAGACTGACCACCTAATCACAGGAGCCAGGTGCCATCATTTCTCTTATATTCTTTTAGTCACACGGACCACCCCTGGTGCAGCGTGGGAGAAGACTACGTGAGGGTGCCAAGACCAGGAGGGGCGGAAATCAAGGGGGGCATCTTGGATGCTGACAATCCCGGGTTCATTGTCAAGATACACACTGTGGAATTACTGACTTATATTTTGAGGAAACTCAGGTAAATAAATTCTCATATGCACACTAAGAACAATGATTAATTAGAATCTATACGGAGGGTAATAAGGGCCCTTTCTGGCCTGCTTCCAACTCTGCCCCATGTGGAGCGCCTCCCCAGGAGAGCAGCCCCTCAATCCCTGGTGCCGGCAGTCCACTGGCCAGCCACTGTGCAGGCTGCCTTGACTGTCCACAAAGGCTGGCCCTTGTCCCATGGCTCTACAGTGTTCACATATAGCTTTGTCTCAGGGATCTGTGGACTCTTCTGTCTTCTACCATAAAGTAATCCAAAGAGACCTGGTGTACACAGACATCCATGGGGCACCACATAGCATCACTAGGTGGACAAGATAAGTACAAAGCAGTCAGTATGTTGGACGTCTTGTTAAGACAGGTGTTCCAGGAGGTAGGAGACAAGCTCTGTGAAGATTCAGGGTTTGATGACTTCAGTGAAATTTTTAGTGACCCGGGGGTTCCAGGGCATGCCAGATACCCTCTTCAAAATAAAATACAGATGTGTTGTATCTCGAATCCTTTCCACAAAGAAGGCAGCGCAGAGCCAGGTGGGCCTCTTAGGTTCTGGAGGCAACAGTCCACAGCTAGGAGAGTCTCTCTGGCCCATTGACCAGGTGACAGAGAAGTTTGAGTGGGGCCAGAGCAGGAAAGGGCAGTAAAGCAACTCCAGGCCCGCTGCCAGGTATGCAATCAGCCCTGCTGCTTAAGTCACCAGTCAGGCAGACCTTATCGGGGTGGGGGTGTCAGTGGTGGGAAAAGGCACAGTTTGGAATATTTGACAAACTCTAGTAGGAGAATCTTAACACAGACCCTGAGCATTCTGGAGCAAGCCCAAGCCCATGCCACTTGCAGTAAAGAGACAGCTGTTGGCATGACACTGGGTTCTGGAACACCTGACCTTGGGACAGTAAGTGACATGTATCCAGAATTGCCCATTTTCTGTCAAATCCACTCAGCGATGAAGTCAGCTGGATCTAGCAGTGGTCATTTGTAAGACGGGGATGGTACATCCAGGATCTAGCCCAAGCAGGTCTAGAGGGCATGGCCAGGCTTCGGGGGGGGGGGTAGCCCAGACCCCCACATCACCCACCAGAGAGGCACCAGTGCTCTCCCATGGGCTTGCACCCCATGTTGGGGAGCATCCATGTCACCAGTTGAAAAAGGGGGAGAGCCCACTTTGGTTTACAGATCAGTTGGCTTGGTACATGGGTGCAGACCAAAACTGGACAGTGGCTGCTTTATAGCCACATTCAGAAATAAACCTGAAAAGACAGCAGAGAAAGAAAATCTTCACAATGGGCACAGCAGCAAGCAGGTCGTGCAATCTGCAGGGGAGGAGAGGTGGCCCAGGATGAGGAAGTATCTGCTTTCCTGGGCAGTGCTATTCTGGTCATCTGGTCAGGGGCCTGGAAAGAAAAGGATTGGACCGTGAGAGACAAGGAGCTCTGGGATAGAGGCATGTGGGCAGACATATTACAGTAGGCATAAAGTGTGAAGATTTTTGCTTCACAAGTGAATGTCTATCAGAAAGCATCCACTGTGAAAGAGTCACTGAACCACCAAGTCGACAAGATGACTCAGCTGGTGAAGTAGCTAGCCTCTGTCAGAGACCACCCGGAACGTGCACGAGGGGCACGGGAGTGGAGCAAGCTGTGGCGGCAGAAACAGAAGCACTCAACAGGAGGACCCAACGGCATGGCCTCCCACTTACTGAGGCCATCCAGCCATTGCAAATTAAAACCAGTGAGATAGCAGTCCGCAACCTCCAAAACCGACTAAAATTTAAAAGATTAGCAATATTAGGCATTGATGAGAAACTGCCATTCATTTGTGGCAGGAGAATAAAATGATACAATTATATTTAGAAAAACTTTGTTAGTTTCGTGTAAACTTCAACATGGCAGGACATGGCAAAACTCTCCAGGACATGGCAAACTTTTTCTGCAGAAAGCAAGATAGTAAATATTTTAAGTAAATATCCCGGAGCCGGAACAAACGGTGACTGAGGGGAATCGGGACGGGCAGGGCGGGGCGGCAGCGGCGGCGGGGCGGGGGCTACAAAACTGGGGTCCGGGTGCCGCCTGCCTCGCAGGAACGCTCTCGTCTCTTGTTTTTTCTTTATACTTTTAGTTTCTCCCTGCAGCTTTATCGAGGTATAAACATAACACTGTCTGTATTTAAAGTGGGCGACGTGACGATTTGGTGTACATACACGCGGTGAAACGATGGCCACCCCAGGTGCACAGCGCCCCCTCCCAGGGCGACCTCCGGGGGCCGTGGTAGGAACACTCGCTCTGCCCGCCCAGCAGGTGGCGAGCGCACCGCACGGCGTTGCGAACTGCGCCCCCGTGCGGCACTGGAGAGCTTTCCATTGACGTTCACACGTAAAGTTGGGCCGCGTGCGCGCACCCGTGCACGCGCACCCGACCTTCGTTACATTTTGGTATCAATGTTACGTCTACTTTGTAGAATGAATTAGACGACATTTTCCCTGCGCTCTGGGACAGAATAGTAGCACTGGAGTCAACTATTCTGTGCCTTGTGGTGGGATTCCTTGCGGTGGGAACCACAAGGAGTTGCGGTTCGAGGCGGGCCACCTGCGTCAGGAAAAATGGTTCTTTCGGAATACTATGCTCTAGTTCTTCTGTGGTGATTGTTTGCTTAGCTTCTCTCTCTCTCCCAGCGTCCGTTTTGGAAAATTGCGTATTCTTGCACCAGCATCCATTTCATTCAGATTTTCAAGTCAGTTTGCTTAAAGTTGAGCAAAATGAGTCTCTTCTTACAAATACATAATTTTTCTAAACCTGACTTTTCCAACTTATGTTTAATTGTAGCAACTGTTCACCCACCTGCGGCCCCGCCCCCCATCTTTCTTCTAATTAGATTAGTTCAGCATCCGTTTTTATCAGTTCTCCCCCAGATCCCTGGAATTATAACTCCTTTGATACTAGTTTTCTTAATTCATTTATTTCTTTTATCTGTACTAATTTTTCTATTCTGCTTTCCTTGTTTATTTCTGTATTTTTTCTGATTCTTGAATTGGATGTTTCATTTACTTTCACTATGAATTCTGAGCCCTTCTTTAGCTAAATCTACGTGAGGTGCGAACAGTATCTTTACTTTCTAGATATTCTGCAATTTCGATTTTGACCCCCTGTTTTTCCCAATAGTCAATTAAAGCACGTTTTCAAAAGCTCAAGTGGGTTTACATATTTTAGTTTAGCTATTTATTTTAGTTTAGTTTTTTCTTCATTTTTGGAGAACACGAGAAAATTTTGTATTCTGCTTTCCACCCCATTTGACTTTTGCCGCGTGACTTCGCTTCTTCCCTGCAGCTCTAATGATAATAAGCACCTGGGAAGTTCTCCCACGTGAAGCCTCCCCAGAGGGAAAGCAGGGGGTGGGAAGAAAGAACGTTCTGAAACCCTGGGTCCCGAACCAGCCGAGGACCGGGCCAGGTCCCAGCGAGTAGGCGAGTAACTCCTGAGGCAAAGAACGTGGGGACCACACCTCCGCGAGCACTGGGCCCGATTAGCCAATCGCCGCACCAAGGTTCTGCTCTGTTTTTTGATTGGTTTGGGGGGGAGACTCCCGTCCCACGCAGCTGGGAGCTCTTTGCTGGATTTTGACTCAGACGGTGGCCCGCGGAGGACAAGAGGCCTGTGGAGCGGAGCGAGGTTTTGCCAGGTGTGGGCCGCTGCTGGAGTGCGCAACGCAGCTGGAGTGTGCAATGCAGCTGGAGTGCGCCTAGGAGTTAGAGCGGTGGGGCTGCAGGGGCATGGCGGCGACCTCCGCGGTGTCGGTGCTGCTGCTGGCAGCGGAGAGGAGCCAATGGCAGCGTTTCCCGAGCCTGCTGCCGCCGCCGAGGTAACTGCCTCTTTCGGAGATTTCTGCCTTCAGTCCGGGTATCGAGAGGGAGACACCCACACGTGTATCTAGGAGATCAAGTCCTTCCCTCTCCTCCCCCTTCCCCTCTTCCACCCTCAATTTACCCCAATTTTTTCCTTTTGTGAGGAGTGGTGGAGGAGTGGGTGCAGCTGGGCCTACCATCCCCTGCCCCCCTTGC